GGGAGTCAGGAACTTATGGGAGAGGTCAGAGTGGGAGATGTCAATTGAGGACTCAGTGTAGAGCTAGCTTCTGAATTGTGAATCTGGAGGAAATTATTCAAAGAATGGGTGGAAAAGGGGAGAAGAAAAGGCATCAAAGGCTGAACTCTGAAATGCACCAATATTTGACAGTTGGGAATTAAGAACGTATTGAGCCAGGTGTGGTGGTACACACTTGTAATCCCAGCAATCTGGGAGGTTGAGGGACAGTAGGATTCCAAGTTCCAGCTCAATCAGGGCAACTTAGTGACTTAATAAGAGCCTGTCTCAAAAATAAATAAATGACTAGATAAATGACAAATAAATAAATGACTAAATAAATAAATACAACTTTTGTTTGTTTTAAAATTTATTTTATTAGTACATCTTTGCTGTACATAATGTTTACATTCTTTTTACATTTCTCAATTGCTTTTTTCATCCCCTTCATATCCCCAGGATGGGAGACTTAGCTCAGAGGGCTTAGGTTCAATCCTTAGTACTTAGAAAAAGAAAATTGAAAGCCTCAGTGAAATAGGAGACAGACCAGGTGACAACAGGAAAGAAAGGCCATCAGATGGGGTACTGGAGACCAAGTGAAGAGAACATTCAGGAATGAGAGGGTTCTGGAACCTCTGGCAGAGGAGCTGCTGGCAGAGGGGTGAATGGAGCATAGACCCCTGGTAGAGCAGTGGGTGAGGAACATCCACCTTCCCCAGAGCACTTCCTGCCAGAGGGCAAAGATGGCACCCCATTGGCTGTATTTGAGAGAAGGGTCAGAGACACTGGACTAGGACATCCTAGAAGCTCTGCTTAGGCCAGGCAGAGACAGGGAGTATGGGCAGAGGAGTCCATTGGCCACAGGAGGGCTTTCACTCCAGCTTTTGCAAGATGGGAGCCATGGCAGCTCCTTGAAGTTGGATGGCAGAGGAGGGAGGGAGGCATGGAGAGCGCAGTAAGGAGGAAGATGATCCTGACAGGCAGTCTCACTGCCGTGTGGGGAGTGATGAAAGACAACAGCCAGCCAAGGACTGGGTCTCCACTCAACCTTGCTGTGGGTGTCTCTCTGCTCACCCGGCTCTCAGATAGCTGTTGTGCATTTGCCTTAGGAACTCTGGGGTCAAGTTTGTCCTGGCAGAAAGGCTTCACAGATGATAGTATATCAACAAAAGTGATAGCTTTAAGTAAAAGGAAACAGTTTCTTCAACTTTTTCTGGGAATAGCCTGCTAAATCAGCAGGAGATATAAGACAGTTTCTCCCTGTCCCCCTGTTTTTGTAACTATTAATTCCAAAAACACGAGCTCATTTTACCCCCTAGAACAAACCAAAGAATGCTCATTTAAACCAGACCACAGGTTTCTTTCAACTTTTCCTCCCTTCACATAACCACAGGGTGGAAGAAAGGCAAAGGTAGAACATGATAAAAACACATCTCACTCCCGATCTTCCCCCTGAACATGCTGTCAAGTGAGCCAGCAGCCAGGCCGGACTCTAGCATATTGTGTTTATTGTGCCAAGCCAGATGAATGGGTGAAAATTTAACTTATGTTTTGCACATATGTTTTCTAGTAGTTTATTGGAAAACTAAGAGTGTTATTTTTTAGCCTGCACAAATAGTAACAAGCTATTTTGCTTTTCTAAGCCTTATCAGATTGCTTCCCAGGTAATCTAAATTAGAAATCTTCCAGAGGGGTAAAATAAGGTTTCTTCTCAAAGGTGTGTCTCTTCCTCCCAACCAGAGACAAGGGCTACTAGAACAGAATGTAAGATCCAGCTCAGTTTAATATGCCATACACATGCCATTATGGTTTATACCCAGATGTTCCCTCAAAGCCTCTTGTGATCATAGGTGGGGCTTTGGGAGGTGACTGCATCATGGGGGCTGATACTCATCAGTGGATTAGTCCCCTGATGAGTTTATAGATAAATGGGAAGTTGAGAGGTGGAGTCTGATTGGAGGAGATGGGTCCCTGGGGGCATGGCCTAGAAGGGTTTATCTCTTCCCTGCTCCTCCTTTTGCTCTCTATGTTTCCTGCTTGCCTTACCATGGGCTCTTCCCCTTCTGCCATGCCACACTGCCTTGGACTGACTAAGACACCTGCCCTTGTCCTCTACCTCCAAGATAGGTGGATGGAAAAGGGAAGAAAAAAGATGGGAGAGAGAAAAAGGCAGCATTTCTAGAATAATTCCTACTGGGCAAATAATTCAAATAATTTAAGGAGATGGGGCAAATAGTAAAAGGAACTGTTAAACATAATTTTATGTTTTTTATTATAAACCTAAACACACTATACTTGGAGACATTTTTGATTTGTTTCATTTTGTGTTTTCTTTGTTGTTGTTGTTTTGTGAGACAGGGTCTTGCTATGCAGTTTAGGTTGGTCTTGGAATCACAGTAGACCAGGCTGGCCTCAAACTTGTGATGATCCTCCTACCTGGGGTTACAGGCACACACCACTAACTGTCTACTTTTAGAAACTTGAATTGATCTATATGAGAAGCCACACTCATTCTTTCCAGTTGATCAGGTGTGATTTGAATAAATCACGTCGTGCATCTAGATCCTCTGATGAAAGAGAAGGTTCAGTGTTAGTGTTGGGGAAGGCCTTGTGTCCTATCTTTATTTTATGTCCTGTATTTCCAAATACTGGGCACTCATTTGTTGCTTAGTAAGTGAATGCTGATAGGAAAAAAATATGTGAAATAGCAGTTAGTGCTGTTAGATCACATTGTATAGTTTTAAAAAATCAAATTGATTTTGTTGACTTTTACTTGAACTGTGTTAAACTCATGGCTTCATAAAATCTGAAGCTCGTGAAATCACCCATCTCTGAAAACCACATGTTGACATCCATATTCATTGACATAAGTTGAAAATTACAGAACATGTGTTGATTGGGGAACTGTTATTCCCCCCATGTTATCTCAGAGTGTCAGACTGAAACACAAATAGAACACAAGATGCGTCTCACACCACACTGGGCCCAAAACCAGTTTGCACTTCCCAAAGTTAAAATGAAAGTTAAACTGAAAAATGCCCAGAGCTGTTGACAGAGCAAAAGCCGTGACCTTCATGACCTTCTTTTAAAGTGTGCCTGTGTGTGTGTGTGTGTGTGTATATGTGTGTGTGTGTGTGTGTGTATGTGTGTGTTGACATTACCAAAGAATCCTTCGATGGAAGGTTGTGCGTTGGTGAGGCAGGATGAGGATCACACAACAGGGAATGGATGTTAGTGTTTCACCACCTACCTCCACAAAACCCAGTCACCCCCTTACTGAAGTTCTCTGCTTGTGCAGTGGTAGCCACCAGCACCCTCCCTCAACAATTACCTCAGCCATTGTCTTCCACCTACACTCCCCTGCCTCAGCTGCCTATTTTGATGACAAACTCACACACTTCAAAGAATATTAGCTGGTAGTTTATTCTGTATCTGTGAGTTTCCTCTTATTGTCCTTTCTCTAAAGTTTTCTTGTTACATTTCCTCTTTCGGATTAATTTAAAATGAACCTCTCAAGTTCTTCTAAGAATCTTCAAGCATATGTTATTGGAAATGTGTCACATGTACATGCTAACATCATGTCATCACAATATTGGTATTTCATCTAGGAACTGTGTATGTCTTTGTAAAAATCAAATTTTTTAATATCCTTTGGTTAAGTTTTACAGCTCCCTCCTTAAAGTTTAATCCATTTATGCCAGGGCAATATATATATATGTATATATGATACATAGACTCACAGAATATATCTAGTAATCTAGTATACATATTTGGTATCTACATAATATACTAGCATAGATATTATTACTAGTATATATGAGTTACACACATTATATGTTTTTCATTGTGTATTTATTCTTTTACATTTTTAATTAGTATCTGGGATGAGTTGTGCTTGTTAATTTTATGCTTGTTACTTCTGTTATATTTTTTAAATTTCCCCAGGTTTTGTTTTTTTGTGCATTTGTTTTTTGACATTGGATTTCCCTATGTATCCCAGGCTGGCCTCAAACTTGTGGAAATCCTCATGCCTCCACCTCCCATAGGTCATCCATCAACCACAGAAGTCCTGTCATTCCCTTGTCAGTATTTATACATCACCCTCCTCTTTGTCCCCTCTTATTTAGGTGGCAGGGACCTGGGCCAAGTGGCAGTGGGGAGCACCCTTCCATGGCTCCTGTCTCTCATGGAAAAGCTTTGAAAAGTGCTGCATCCTAAAGTGAGATGCTCACCATAGGTCCTGGCACACAGCTTTCATGGTGTCAGGTGATTTTCTTTTCTCTTCCTAGTTCATTGAAGAGCATAGCATTCTGCCCCTTTCCCATATTAATATTCACCCATGAGATCACCCAGGCTCATCCTGTGCCCTTTTCCACCCTGACCACAGCTGTCTTGAGGTTGCTGCCTGTGGGGATACTTCTAACCTCCTCCTAGGTGCCCACTGAGGGCCTCCTCTGCAGGGAGCTTTCCTGGTTCTCTCATTTCTGTGCTGCCTACTTTGTAACTGAGCCTGGATAGAACTGACTTTGTATTAGATTCCAACGTCCCAGTGCTGAGTCCTTAACCATTCACCTTTGTATTCCTAGTGCCCAAGCCCCTGACCTGTAGGCAGTCAAACCTCAGTGATAATTGTCTGAACAAATGAGCAAATGAAAGAATCATTGGGAGATTTTTCTGTGAATGATGCAAGTAGGTGATTCCTCTGTACTGGATAATACTTTGTTTCTTAAAATTATTTTCTAAATTTCTTCCACCTTTGTCTATCGTTTTGTGTTGGGACGTTGGGATGTAGCCTTCTGAAAGTAGATCAAATATCAGAAAGGAAGAAAAAATTAGTAAAATGTTACATTTACCGCTTCAAATCTTGGCAGCAGAATACCTTTCATTGTTGGTCATCCCAAGTTTAGAAGTGGAGTTATTCTTGAATTTTAAATTTTATTTTATAAGAAAATTTACTGATGGTTTTCCTTTTTTCTGGGTAGGGAATTACCATCCGACCATTGGTGGAGTTTCTTGATGTTAAGAGATCCAATAAGAAGCAGCAAGCTGTCAGTGAAGAAATCCACTGTCGGGTAGGTGCTGACAGTGTAGCAACGTAGATGATAAGGGAAATGCTGGACTCACTCAAACAGCTTGACACCGTATTACTCATTTCTGGAAGAAGACAGAAGTGGCAGAGTTGGGAAGCAAAGAATGAGGGTTATTCTGTGCTCGCTAAACTTCTCCATGAGTAGAGGAGCAAGAACCTGCTTTTACTTCATTCAACCTACAAATGTTTTTAATGGACACTTATTAACATTCTTCATTTTTTTTCAAAATTATGATCAAACTATTATGAGCACCAAAGTAGTTGAAGCGTTTCTTAATATTGATATGACAAACATCTCAGTTTGTTTGAAGACAAGTGGTTGTTCTATTGCTTTCAGTAAAGCAAATAAATAAGAAACAAATAGTGCCAGAGTTGTTAGTGTTTAGGCAGGATACACATGGTGTGAGAATGACTGCTTTCAGGTAAATACCAACCAATTCACTTGCTTCTTTCTGTTTTCAGTTTTTTGATCATGTGAAGACTGGGATTGAAGATGTTTGTGGACATTGGGGTCACAACTTCTGGAGAGACAAGTAAAAAAGCTTATGTCATTTTATTATAATGAGGCTATGGGTCATTCTGGAAGCTGGACATGATGACTTGTGTTATTTTTCAGGGTTCTTAATCTTTGTGTTGTTCCACAGTGTGTCCCTTAAGGTAAAGTTCAGCTGGAACAGAGATGTGGAACAAGTGTAGCTTAAATAAGTTTATTTCTCTGGCTAGAGGGAGGCAGTTCTGGAACGCTCCACACCACAGAGTACCAAGGCCTCAGGACCCTCTGTCATCTATCTATTATGAACAGTCTCCACTTCCATTTTCTCCAGTCCTCCTGTTGGGCATGATTGCTGCTCCTTGGCCATTTTAGGCTGCATGAAGGAAGCATGATAGCAAGAAAACAGAGGCCATCTGCCACCTGCCTCCTAACTGATGTCTTCAGAAGCTGTCACATGGTTCTTCCACTCATGTCACATGGTTCTTCCACTCATGTCACATGGTTCTTCCACTCATATCACATGGCCCGGACCCAGTACCATGGCCGTTCCTTTCAGCCCAGGAGGCTGAGGAATGTGAGCTTCATGGTTAAGAGCATGGCTTGTTAAGCCTCATGGGTCAGGTGGCTTTGTTAAAGGCAGAGATGCAGAATGCCTGAGGAGGTCACTAAGCTGGCAGAAATCACAGATCTGCATTTGTAAAGGCTTCTTTGATTATCCGAAAAATTAGGTACATTTGTAAAGGCTTGAGTTATCTGAAAGATTACATACATTTATATAAATCACACACACAGGCAGAATCTAGAAGGATGTTTTAATATAGTGGGAACCAGAATTGTGGGACCAGGAGTACAGGTTCCTTATGAGAGCAGAGTTTAGGACAGAAGGGCCTGGTGCCAGCCCTTCCCTCCAGTTGGGGGCTCCTCACAGGCCTCTTCTCCTCCCTTCTCACATCTGGCGCCATCACAGCAGTGCTGATACCATGGACCCAAGGGTGCCATGATCCGAGCTCTTGCTTTTGTAGAGCAATCTGTAGGATGATTCTTAGCAAATCACCAGCTAAACAAGACTTTGGCAGGAGGCAGTGATTCAACTGGACCCTGACAAAGGAAGACACATTCTAACCTATATCTGCAGGCTCCTGTCTCCTTCTCCTTCCTAACTTGCGGCATATTTTCTCCACTACTACTTCATATAAAGTTGGCAACCTGTCAGTCTATGTAATTTAACATGAGTTAAGTTCTGAGAGCTTCTGTTTGGTCACATGTGCTGATATATTGGATTACAAAAGAATAAGGCATAGATTTAGGCCTCTAAAATTTTGCAACATAATAGAGGCATAACAGTCACATCATAAACAGGTATGTGTATATGCAAGGGTGGGTGGAGGGATCCTTAAGGAATACAGTGAGCTACAAAAACTTTAGTGCCAGAGCAACATTTATTGGCTTTACAATACTACTCACTAATGAAAGGCCGTTTGGGCTTAGTCTTATTTCATAAATAAAGGAAAGATGTGCAGAGAGAGTACACAGTTCATCACATATGAGCAAAAAGAAATAAAGTTAACCAAAATCTGCATTGTAAAAATGTGAAGAGATGGCTGTTTCTGCTGGAAAACACTCCCTTTCCAGGAGGCAGGCGTCAAGCCAGATGACCTAGCCACCCCTACTTGGCATCCTGGGACTGTCCTCATGTAGATGGGTCCTTATCTGTGCCTAGCTGGTGAAGCAGACTTGCCTTCCCTCAGTGCCCATTAGTTTGGTAACCATACTTCTCTCTATCTGCCTTCTCCCTTTCCACCCAGCCACGCTTCTCCTTTCCTCTAAAATCCTATCAGTACTTTCCTGAAGTGACCAGCAGTGTAACCCAAACAGCCTGTTTTCCTTTCAGAAGTTTAGATGGGGCTCCCCATTCCCACCATTCCTCTGCCTCCCAATTGGGGGACAAAACCGATCTGAGTGGGCTAAGACTCAGGCCCACAGCCCTGGACACTGGGAAGAGGAAGGTGAGGTGGTCACTTTGATCATGTGGGTTTGATGTAGAAGGTCAGAAGTCTGGCTGTGTCCTTTCAGCAGAGACACACCCTCTGGGTCACTGCATCTGCTCCCAGGAAGGCACCTCAAGGCAGTAGGACCTACTGTGCCTTGGGTCAGAGAGGCAATGTTGTTTGTTCTGTTTCTAATATTTTTCTCAGCAGCAAATATAGTTCATTTAATAAGTTTTATGATCACTGATAGATTTCCTTGCACAATTATTTCCAGGTAAATTTCAATTTCAGGGATCACAGGGAGAATAATGAAGCGAGTAATTTTTTAAAAAATTAGTTATGCTCAGATCACATCTATGATTTTACGTAATTATTGATGTTACTAAAAATTACGTACAAAAAGAAAAGACTGTTTTAGGCATGTTGGGTATCTTTTCTTTTTTTCACATTCCTTTTGCTGTGGATTTCCACTGGTCCTGGCAGAGAATACTTGAGACATTTGACCCTTTGGGAATGGAATGAAAGGGTGATACAGTATGGACATTTCTCAGACTCAGCCAAAGGAGTCTAATGATGGTGAAAGAGAACACCTGCGTGTGGCTTGGCAGAGAAATGAAAAGGGTAACAAGAAAGCAAAGAAAGAAAACACAAAGTCCCTATGCAGAATGGATGAGACACCATTGTCCTTGATATTTATCCTTTCTATCACTGATGTTTCATGAGAGGCTAAAACAATAATAACAATACAAGAAGTTAAAGAAGATGTTGAATCCCTGTGGGGATCCTGGCTCAATGGGCCTAACATGAAATGAAAAATAAACACAAGAAACAGTAGGCCCAGTCTTTAGCCTGATGACCATTCAATAGCAGGGTACATTCTGGATGGTTTTGCTTTAATTATTCAGAGGCCTCTAGTATTCAGACCTAAGGACCAGTGCCAAGTATGTGGGTGAACATTGGTTCCTTTGATAACACAGGTGTGCCTGTAAACCTCCTTGAGTTTATAGTCATCACTGTGGTACACTTATTTCTTTCTCAACAAATAATTATAGCAGGCTCTTTCCTTTATATATTGGCATAATAATGTTGCATAGTAAATTATTGCAAAACTCAGCTGCTCAGAATAGCAGTCATTCACTATGGTATGAGTGAAGAGGTCTCCCATCAGCTGTGCTGGGGGCTGCCTGGTGGGTCATTGAGTCTGGCAGGCCTTGTCTGATGTGAATGAGGTGAGGCAACTCTGCTTCTTTCTTGTGATCCTCACTTTCGTCCATGCTATTTTGTGCCTGTCCTGGAATGACAACCATGGGAGCATACCCTATAGGCTGCAATGTGCAAGCCTATGCTAGGCCTCTTCTTCCATCATCACATCTGCTAATAGCTCATTGACCAAAATGAGCAACACTATTGAGCTCAGTGTTGGCAGCAGGGCAGGGCCCAGCACCGAGGCCATGGCGGGCAGACCTTGCCAGGTAACATAGCAGAAGGTGTTGGCACAGGGAGCCATTGGACACAAATGGTCCATTTTATTACACATGATTGGCAGGCTGTGCCAGGATCTGTATAAAGAGCCCACATTCCCGGTGCTAGGAGACAGTAAATAAGATAAATAAGTAAACTGCTTATCATGTCAGGAAGTGGTAACTGGGAAGTGAAGTCAAGAGTGGGATATGGGATTACAACAAAATGGATAGGAAAGGCTCAATGTAGGAAACTGCTGTTGAGGAAGGACTTAAAGGAGGTATTTGAATGACCCTGCAGGTATCTTGTAAGAACATCCCTACTAGAAGAATAGTTAGTTTACAGCCCAAAGCCCAGGGGGAAGTATCTAAGACAGGAAGTCCCCAATAGAGGAAGGCTGCTGCTGAGGATGGGGAGCTAAGGGTTGAGAGGTGCAGACCCCAATGGCACAGGGTCTCAGAGGTCACCAGGCTTTTGCCTGGGTCAGAAGCATGGCAGGCACCTGGTTCTTTGTGTTTATAGGAACACCTGGCCTCTGTGGGGGACAGGACAATGATGAGTTGCTGTCCAGTGAAGAGGATGAAATGTTGGACCATGGCGATGGCCTCAAAGGTGGAGAGGAATGGTTGGATTCTGTGTCTATTTTGATGATGAAAGGGACAGAAATTTCCGCAAGGGTGCATTTGGAATAGTAGTTTGCTAGAGCTACCATGACACAGTTCCACACATTAGGGGGCTTCAACAGTAGATGCAAGTTTTCTGGCACTTCTGGGGACTGGAAGCCAGGGAGGAATGGATAAGTGGGGTCAGGTCCTTCTGGGTTGAAGGGAAGGGTCTGTTTCAGGGCTCTCTCCTGCGTGGCAGGTGGCTACTTTCTTCCTAACTCTTCACGTTGACTTCCCTCTGTACATGGTTGTGTCCAAGCGAACCCTTCTGATGAGGACAGCAGTCATCTTGGGTGAGAGCTGACCCTAATGACTGTATCTCACTTAATCATGTTTGTAAAGACCTTCTCTCTGAAGGTAGTCACATTCTGATAAACTAGGAATTAGGAATTAGTCACATTACTTTTTGGTAGGACACATTTCAGCCCATAATGTGGACCATGACAGAAGTAGAATCACCAAAGATGACACCTACATAGAGTCATGATTAGCTGAGGTGGGGAGGTTTGTGGGAGAAGAGTAGTTCAGTTTGGATACAACAAGTCTGAGATGCCTGTTGGATATCCAACTGGAGATGCTGAGTAGGCAGTGAAATGTTCCTTCTCAAGGGTTTGGGAGAGAAGGTGAAGCTAGTGAAATAAATTTGAGTGTCAGTGGCATAGAGATGCTATGAAAAAGCATGAAACTGGGTAAGACTCCCCAGTTGAGTGCAGCTGGGGAAGGAGACCTGGCACTGACCCCACAAAACTCCCACATTCAGAGGACAGAGAAGAAAAGGAACCAACAAAAGAAGGTGAGAAAGAGAATGGGAGACCCCCAGGGAGTGTGGTTTCCTGAAAACAATGAAGACAGTGTGTTGAGCCAGTGAAGCCCGGAAGACGAGGACTAACAAGGCCATATATTGTGGGTTCTTTGATGACCTTGATGAGAATAGCTTGAATGGCGCGTTGGAGCCAAAGCCTGACTGTGAATGTTCAGGAGCCATAGGAGAAGAATGGGAGCTAGCAAGTCTTGACAACATGTTTAAGAAAGAGGAAGTAGAAAATGGTAGATGTAATTAGTGAATACTAGATATATGCATGTTACAGTCATATAAAAAGTATCAACATAGGTGTGTATATATTCATAGGTATACACTACACATGTATAGTATATGTATTTATGTACATATGAAAATCCACATTATGATCAGAGTAGCTAACTGCTGCTACTAAGTTTTACCTGGGGAGATAGTTTGAGTTGTTTGTTTTTAAGTTCATGCAGTATTCAGTAATTGAAAGTTTGATTTTTTTTTTTTTGTACCAGGGATCGAACTCAGGACCTTGTGCTTGGGAGGCAGGTGGCGGCACCACTGAGCTAAATCCCTGGCTCTGATTTTCTTTATTTTATAGGTTTAAGAAATTTGATGACAAGTATCTCCGGAAGCTTTTGATTCGGGAAAACCAACCGAAGTCAAGCATTGTGTCTTTGTATAAAAAGCTTGAAATCAAACACGCCATTGAGATGGCAGAGACTGGGATGATAAGTACTGTCCCTTCTTTTGCATCCCTAAAGTAAGTACGGTTTTTGTGAAAAGTTAGTGTTACTAAATATTCATTGGTAATTCTTTGAAACTAGAAATAATAAAAAATTAACCTACATTCTAGAGAGACACCTTAAGATTTCACACAGAATGAGATTCTAATTGAAATAGAACAGCCTAGAAATGTGTGTCCTATGTTATGTTGTTTTATGTTATGCTACTTTAGGATTGATCAGTCAGAAATAATTCTGTTATGCTTAGGATATTTGTGCCTTTATTACATTTGCTTTGGCAAATTCAATGTTTACTGGAAGTAAATTAAAGCCTCATAGCTGGTGTTGTGAAATGGCCTATTTTAGGGTTATATTTGGTACTATGAATGTGAATGTGCTAACAGAGCTGTTTCCTTATAAATTATTCACAGGCTTACAGTTGGAGTTGTGAGGGGGGCAATAATGACAGGAACACGAATACAGGGGGTCACGGAGTAGCCTGCACATTGGAAAATCCCAAGATTGTTTAGATAATGCAGATGCCTGTGCCCCATTCCACACCATTGAATTAGCATCTTCGTTGCTGAAACCCAGGCATATTTAAAAGTTCTTCAGATGTTTCTAACATGCAGCCAGGATTGAAATCCATTGGTCCAGTCTATCTCCCTAATTTTAAAAAGGAAGAAATGAAACTGGAATGGTGCAGGGACTTACCCAAAGTCTTTTGACCATCAGTAGCCAAAGCACCAATAGAGTGACCCTCAGCAAGTAAGAGTCTTTATCATGTAGACATCCATCCTTCTCTATTACAGAAGTGACAGAAATCACAGGTTCTGTGATTCAAGGATTTCAAGGATTGAAATTCAAGGATTTCTTCTGCTGTTGATGAGCTTGAAGTCATTTAAACTAAACTTTACATAATTAACATGTTAACTGTGAGGAAGTTGAAGTGAGAGAGAAAGAAATTCCACAAAATATCCAACTCTATAAACTATGATTTTAAATTAAATTTCTGATTGTTAGAAAAAAGGGACAAAATGTATTTTATGAGTTTGGGTGGAAGGAGGATAGTATGGTGTGGTGAGTCATTTCATGACCAGGAGACAAGAGAACAGAGATGTCCAAATAGATGGAACTGGCAGTGGGGCCATTTTTTCTCTGGAGCTATCCATTAACTACAGAGATGGTAACAGAGAGTTTAAGAGATAAATAGAAGTATGACAGACTCATTGACCCTAGAAAATAAGATTGGAATTCAGAGCCCACCAAAAAGGAGGAGCTCCTGTACCAGCTACAGGTTATTACTTCAAAGTCCTTCACCCTACCCCTCAAAGGAAAGAAGTTTAGCCTAGAATTATCTCAATCCATGGCTGTAGAAATCATCTAAGTTTGCTGTTACTGCTAGCACATATACTCACGAGACATATTTTAAACAGCAATACCTCTACCTAAGAAGATACTTATAAAAAATTATATAAGTAATTCAGATTAAGGAACAAAATGAACAATCTAAATTTAGAGAAGTCTGTCTGCTGAAGTCTGTGATCTCTCTTCACTCATTCATGTGGCTCATTAAGTATTGATATGCTTGATTTACAGTAATGACTAAGTTTTCATTACAAAACATGGCAACTATGTTCTTTAACTTGTGTGTCATGCCACACATTCTGTAAGATGTGTTGCAAATCAAGTTTTTCAGTTTTAGTTTATTTTCTTAATTTTATCTATTTTATTGTGCTATATATTTTTGTAGGTTTCTTCAAGGCTTTTTAGAAGAAATTGTAGTAAAAAACATACAATACAGTCCATTCTCATTATTTGTAGTAGTTATCACTTATTTGCAAATATCATACTGAATGGTTGCTCTTGGGGGTTTCTGAAAGTCTCTGGTCATAGAAGTCTCATCAGCCAGTTCACATACAAGCTTGTTTTATGTGCATCTTTGTTTTATGACACTGTATTCAATATGTAATATATACATACATATACATATATATCATTAATTCATTAATGAACTCATGGTCAACAGCATTGTACCTCACATGCGAATAAAGCATATCGGACACATACTTCCTCTACCACACACCTGTGTTTGGGACACTAGACAGCACTTCAGCCCTGTGATTGGGGACCATTTTAAACAGTGAAGTTACCAACAAGCAGCAAAAAAGGGAAAAAAGAAAGAGAAAAATATCACTAACTAGACTGTGACAAGGACATTAGTTACAGTACAGTAAGAAGAAGAAACAAGAAAGCAGGACAGGCATTGCCTTGTTCAGCCTCAGTGTGGGGCACACGTTGAGTGGCTGAGTTTTGCCCCTCTGTGTCTGAGAAGGAGTAAATCTACCCGAGTGCTGATGCCAGGCTTACAACTCCATTGTAGTGAGTAGGTGAACTCGCAGATGTGGACTCCTCAAATGATCAACTATATTTGCCTGCATTTACAATAGGATGTTTCCAGATATTTATAATGAAGTACTTCAAAAATAAATACTTAGTAAAAATATAGTTCATTAAGCTTCTGCTGTGAAAAGCAATTCTATATTACATTAATTATAGTGGTAGAATTAACAAAGCGATAGCATTGCAAACCATTTCGTGTAACTTTTCTTCCTTAAAATATAGTAGCATAAACAGACTCTGAAGGCTTGTATATGATTACATATCATGAATAATTTTGACACTAAAATAATTTTCAGAATGTTTCATTATTTGAAAATGGAGACATTTTTAAAAATTTAAAGAATTTAAAAATATTTTGAGATATTGGATAATTCCCAAGTGCTATTTTTAAACAAAGATTGTCCTTCTAAAATGATGGTATCATTACTGCTGAGAAAGAAAATCAGTGCTTCTAATACCCATGGAAAGGTGAAATCTTCTTTTTCCAAACTTTCACAGTGATTGCCGCGAAGAAAAAATAAGGAAGCTTACCCCTGGTGAAATGGATGAAATTCGAGAAATATTATCAAGGAATCTCTATCAAATCCGTCAGCGAGTGAGAAGAATTTATTTACCAAAATATTTTCTTGCCTTTTGCTAAAAATATGCTTCTTGTTTTGTGCTGCAATTAGAGGCCCACTATTCAGCTACTTCCTTGGGTGCCCCCTGGGTACCTCCTTTTCCCTCTCTGCAGCATCCACAGTCCCCCATGGACAGCAGAGCTGAAGCCGGAAGCCCCTGTGGGCTTGCAGATAAAAATATGCTGGCCAAGGGTGAAGAAATGAATTGTTTGTTTTTTAAAAGACATATTTTATAGCGTGGGCTGTTTAAATGCATGGAAGCCTTGCAGTGTTCACACAGTGCATGGCGGCTTCCTCCCTCGCTCTTCCAACTCCTTCCTTTCCTGTAGTTCCACTGAAGACACTGAGTCTTCCTGATGAGCTCCTAATGTCACTGAGCCTCTGAGCCCTCAGTTCCCCAGGCCTCACTCAGTCCTCTGGAAAGGAGTAGGCATTACTGTTGGCTCCATTTCCAGTATGGAGAAACTGAGGCTTCAGGAGGTGAAGTGGCATGTGGGGGAGCACACAGTTTGCAGGGTGGCCTCCCTCCTGCCAGACCATTGGATCTGAAGCTCCTTGGCTGGTCTCCCCACCAGCTGTCCCCACCCACCCTTACTCTCCCTCCTCCTTCTCCCTAAAAGCATCTTCGGAAGGCAGCATTCTCCTGTTCAAGATGATGAAGTGGTAGGTGTGGCTAAACTCTCCTTGCAGAGTTTGGGGCCCTGTGTCCAACCTCTGCTTCATCCAGTCTTAATTCCCATTGTCCCACCCACACCAGGCAACCTTGGAGCCCCAATCCTTGCGGGGTCTGTCTCTCTCTTGCTCTGTCTCTCTCCCTCTCCTTGGTGCCTGCCGCCACTCCAGGTCAGCTCTGTCAGCTTATATCATGGTGTACACTTTTTCTCTTTTCTGCAGCAACCACCCTATTATCCCCAACCCCATCCTCACATGAGCTCACCCTTGGAACATACAGGACCCCTTAATTTCATGGTTTTGGTTCACATTGTTAGCCTTCAATGCTTGACTATGTGGCACACACCTCCACATAGGAATTGGGTCTTGTTCTCTGTCACCGTGCCTGATAAGGTTCTGGTCACAGGGACATTCCCACAAAGTGCATGCCAATTTTAATACAAAATGGACTCTGTTGGTAATCATGGCTTTTTAAAGGAAACATAATTCTATGCAGTTTATTAACTAAATATTGGTGCCAGGTGTGGCCCAGCTTAGAAATTTCACTCCTTCCCACTCTGGGATAGGATCATCACCGTGGTGGCAGCAACTTCTCAGTGTGAAGTCCCAGCTGGAACAAGGACAAGGACAAACTCTGGAGCCAATCTAAGGGACATGGCACCCCCAAGTGGCTCCCAGTGGTTTGCTTTTATGTCAGTACTTCCTGTTCAGTGAACAACAGAGAATGTAGAAAGATGTTTTGTATTTTTTCTAGCTATGGATGATGGCTAAATATAGATAAGGTGTGAAGTCCATCATTTTAAAAAATTTATAATAATCCTATTTTTCAACAGAAAAATTTACTGACTTTTATGAAAAGATGAATTCTTTCAAAATTTGAAAGCATTAACTGTTACATTCTTGACTTTAACTTTGTTTTGTCTTTTGCTGTGCATGGATTTTGAGGCAGGCTGAGGTGGGGATCCGAAGGAATGTGCTAGTGTTTTGGAGTCTCTGGAGAAATGATCGGACTTTTGGTAAAATGTCACCTGTGCATCTCAATTTCAGACTTTGTCCTACAACAGACACAATCTGACAGCCGACGTGAGTGAGAGGCAAGCCAAGGAGATTCTGATCCGCCGGCGGCACAGCTTGCGAGAGAGCATCAGGAAGGACAACAGCCTGAACCGCGACCGCAGGGTACAGGATTTGCCTCTGTTGTGGATAGGCCATGGGATCTTTGCCTCTGCTGATTGAGTGGCTGCTGAGGGCTGATCCCTGGGAATCCTGGCATGAAACTAATAATGTCCTTTCGCCACAAGCACCGATGGTACCTGTAGTCCCAACCCACAGGAGGATCCCTTGAGCCCAGGAGTTCAAAGCCTGCCTGGGTAACAGAGTGAGACCCCCATCTCAATGAAAAAAGGTCAAGAATAATAAAGCCTTTTCTAATTTTTTTAAATGTCTGTTACGTTCCAGCCAGTGACCTTTCATAGGCACATGGAACACACTGGTGAGTAACATTTTAAAAGATTCCCATGCTGAGGGATTCGTATTCAGGAGGTGGAGAAGGCTTCCAAGAATAGGAGCTAAATTATTTATTATGATCAAGGTAATAAGTGCTGTGGTCACACACACAAACAGCTGGTGAAGCTGACAGTTGTAGTTCAGAGAAGAGACAATGAAATGACAACTTTAGCCAGGAGGCATGGGCCAAGCTTCCCCCACTGGAAAGCAATGTAGACATGTGCCACATAACATCAGGATGTGTTTTCAGAAGTGTGTTGCTAGGTGATTGTGTGATGAGAACATCACACTGTGTACTTACACAAGCTGACTACAGTGTCATTAGGCGATACAATCTCATGGGATCCCCATTATAGATGCTACTGGTCTTTGACCAAAATGTTCTACTGCAGTTCATGACTCTCTGAGCCATCCAGGGAGGGTTCGTACCAGGCAAGGGTGGGGAAGTCTGTGTTCTCCAGGTTCTATGTGCTCTTCCCTGCAGGAAGCCCAGGTGCGCCTGGGAGATGAGGATTTGTAAGGAAATCTGTGCAGCTGGTCCAGGGCATTGTCAAGAGATATGGAGAGCAATTTAAAAACAGTGTCATGATTTCCTAATATACCATGCCAGCCATGGCACTTTACTTTTAATAATGCTCACAGAGGGTCACAGAGTTCAAGACCATTGCATGTGAACAATTACTTTTTTTACATGTAAAACGTAGCACTGTCAAGAATTTACTCTAGAAACTAAAGACAGGAATGACTGTTGTGTTCAAAATGTCAGCAAATTTCTAGCAATTTTTGTTGTTCAAGCATTTTCAAGTTTATTAAAGGGAGTGAAACTGAAGTAGGCTACATTCTTTTTATCTCTTTTCCTATTCATGTAGATTTTCTTTCTAGTAATTCTTTTACAAATAGATGCTTTAATAGCTTTTCTTTAAGGAAGACCCAACGGCCTCCACACCTCGCTTCTGATGGTCTGTCTTAGTGACTTTCTTGTTGTTGGGACAAAGTATCTGACACCCACAAGTTAAAGGAGGAAAGATTTATTTTGGTCCATAGTTTATAGAGGTTTCGGTGCATAGTCAGCTGACTCCAAGACAGGGCTGCATTGCAGAACAGGCAGGAAGCACCAGGCACCCTTCCTTCTGTCTCTTTATGTTCTACCCAGGCTATAAGCCTGCTTATTGGTGCCACTCACACCCAGAACTATGCTAACTGCATTTAGTTATCGTACACCCCTGATCCTTGTATCGCACACCCTATATCCAAGCACATCTGAAAAGCTCCACCGATGAGCACAGGAGGCTTTAGGGGGACATCTAGATTCAAGCTATAACATGGTCCTATTTATTTTCTTCTTTAGTATGGATCTCCACTAGGTTTTAGAAGAGATTAGTTATTTCAAGTACAATGATTACAACATTTCACGAAGTAGTTTTTGGAATGATGAAGAACTAAAATCCTATTATTAGACCAAGTACTATCATAAAATTTTCAACTTCTCATATACAATAAATTCCGTTTATATAATCTAAGTCAAATTGTCTAATTTTTTTTTACAGGCTTCCACTTCAACTTCCAGATATTTATCCTTACCTAAAAACACAAAGCTTCCAGAAAAACTACAAAAGAAAAAGAATATTTCTAATGCAGGTAGAGAATGTACTTGGAGTAGAAAACTTTAGATTTATCTAAGGTAGAGAAATGTTCCTATTACTTTTCTTTATTAAGGAAGAGTTCAATAACTCACAATGTAAAATAATAACAGGGTGATCTTTTATTAGCACTGTGACGTTTGAATGATGTCCTATGCAAATTATAAATAATCCAGTCATTTATTTTCCATAATGATTCTTTGATATAGCAAAAAGCAAACACTGTTGCCATGGGGTTATTCAGCATACAAACAGAGGGTTTTAAGTCTGAAAATGTGTAAACATTTAGAGTTATACAATCATTCTAACATATTTTCATAGAGTCAACCGTAGATTTTACTTTGTAAAATTATTTAAGCTTTGTTTCAGATCTAATCTCTTTATTTGATGGTAATTTTAATGGAGACACCCAAGCTCTTTCCTGTAAATCCCAGAGGAACTATCTAAGGATTTTGCATAGTTAAAATGTGGGATGGAAGAATAATTTAAACCCCTTTTCTGTCCCTCTCCTGCTCATTTATTGAATTAACCAAGAAGAGGGAAGTCTAGGGATTGCTGAGGTCATAGAGGGCAAGGTGAAATGAGAGGGAGGGGTAGGGAGAAAGGGAAGCACTGAGAATTTCTAATCTTGGCTGTGTTCCCACTGTGTGCCCTGCAAATATGTCCTTAGTTCCTGTAAATCTCAATTCCTGGGTGCACAGCCTTTTGGTCCACTGTCCAGCACCTGGGGCTGGCCCTCATAGTGCCTCTGCCTTTGTCGCAAAGTGCACACTGGAGATTTGGTCCTTATGTGGGACTTTGAGATTCCAGGCGGAGGCTGAAGGCAGGTGAAGGGCAGAGGTTTACCGTGTGTCAGTCTGAATTCCAGCTCCGCCCCTTACTAACACCTTTTGACCCTAGTTATCCATCTGTAAAATGAGTGATTCTAAGGATTAAATGAATAAATGCATTTCAAGGCACTTAAAATACTGGCACACAGTAAACTCCCAAATCAGTGCTGGGAACATGAATGCTGTCAGAGGTGCCACAAAACACCCAAGGTCCCTCAGCTGGAATTGGAGTGGGCCCTGTGACCTCTGCGGTCCCCTGAGCCTGGGAGCCTAGAAGTTGTTTGGCCCACTGAGGTGTGGAAGGTCCTTGTAACACCCCTCTCTGAACCACTTGCTCACCCTGTCCTTCTTTGTGACAGATGGCAACAGCAGTGACTCAGACCCTGACTTGGGGACCACCGTGCTCAATCTGCAGCCCCGAGCCAGGCGCTTCCTGCCAGAGCAGTTCTCCAGAAGGCTGACCCAGCCCTATAGGATGGAATGGAAGAATGAGGTGAATGTGGATTCTGGCCAAGAGCAGCCTGGCAGCCCCCCGGTACCCAGCAGCAAGGATGGGGGCACTAAGACCCCGGGCATCCTTCGTCAGCCCCTTCTCTCCAAAGAGCAGCCAGGCCAGGGCAGGGAAGATAGTTTGACTGAAGATGCTGCACCCAGGCCACCACCCAGGCTGGCTCAGAGGGCATCAGAGCCTGGGAACCAAAAAGCCCGATTTGGGGCAAGTGAGAAGCCTTAACGGAAATGGCCAAAGTAGAACTGGGGGACTGACCTAGCAAGGCTGTGGTTTGTCACTCCAGACACCAAAGCAACCCTGGAATTTGTTTAAACACCTCTATTGAAACCCTTTCTTTGGGTGGCAGGGTTAAGCCACCGATTCATGGGATGAATGTTTATCCCAAGGAGAGGAAAATCAAAGGAGAAACGTCCCACAAAAGTGTCTTTGTGACTTGTGGCTAACAATTGTATTCTTTTCAGGCCTAAAGAAAAAAAAATGTGTGCCTTTATCAAACTTGAATGACAGAACTTGAAATTTTTAACACACACTTGTTAGTGAAAATGTTAATATATTACATATATGCCTCAAATTTTATTTATGAAAAAATGTGTATATTTCTAGCAGATCAGTTTTTAAGTGAATGGCACTAAATTACCAAGGACATCTTTCCCAGGGGTGAACATTAGGTAGATCCTAAGTTCAGTGTTGAGGTCTTTCTCTTTCCCAAGCTTATGGGCCAGTTGGTGAAGGAGGAACAGAGCCCCAAAAAGGGGCATCTCAGGACACAGCTGGAGCACAGGCAGGGTGAGTGGCAGACAAAGTGGCAGCTCTCTTGATGTGGGCAACAGTCCCTGTCCTCCAAATGAATTAGTCGGTTCCTAATTTGTTCCTTCTGTCTACCATGTGCTCCCCTTCTTTTTAGGCAGTGGAAAGAGAAAGGCTGCCCAGCACAACTATTAGAAAAGCCATAGGCATGATGGTCTCTTGTGGCCCCTGGGAGTCTGGCAGCACCTGCCAGCCATGGTTGGTGAGTTTAGCTCCTGAAATGCAGGGAAGAGGGGGAGGTGACTCCTTTCATGCCCATCCATGCCTACCCGCTCTAACAGAATTTTTCTGTAGAGCATTCTAGAACTTTTAAGTGCAGTTCAGCACCTCCAAGCAGATGAGGATAAAAGTTTATGTGGACTGTATTCTGTTGTATAACACATTGGCCAGATTTTGGGTTTTGACTTTTGATCAGGAAGCACTTTGGAGAATGTGGGAGTCCTATTTTTTTTTTTTTTTTTTGCACTAGTCTGTAATTTGTTACCTCTTCACTTTCCATAATGTAGTGACTCAAATTCTTCATATCAAATTGGATTCTACTCATGGGATTACTTTTTAGAACATTGTGGAAAGAAGTGGAACATAATCATTAAAGATTAATATTTAAATCCCTGGTTCTTAAGCTGTAGATTTTATTGACCTGTCTTTTCTTTCTGAATAGTTTCTCTTTAAAATTTGCCAGAACAAGTACTCTTAAATCTGTGGGTTTAGATATTAAATGAGGACCTTTGTGTAGCTTCTTCGTTTCCCACTGGAACCTTTTACATGCAGCAAAGAACCCAGTGTTACTAGGCAACGAACATGAATGTCTAGCAGAGAGAGAGAGAGAGACAGTTCTTGGCTGTGGACCACCAACCCTACAGTGGCTCATCAACGTGGAGAGGCACACCTTCTTTTTCATGCCCTAACATCTTGGGACACTGCCTGGTGACTGGCATATGACAGGAGAAGAATGCACAGGCTCAAATTCAGTTTCTTCCCCAACACTCCCAAGCTGATCAGCAGAAATCAGAGTAGAACAAAATCAGAACACTACAAGCTTAGGATTCTGTGCTAAAATCTCAATTTTAAGTGAAAGTATTTACATTAAAATATATATTCCTTTTGCTGGAAAGAAATTAAAGCTGATCTAGAATTATATTACAGAAATATAATTGACCAGGTAGGGATGTAGCTCAGTGGTGCTGTGCCTGCCTGGCAAGTGCAAGGTCCTGAGTTCAATCCCTGATACTGAAACAATGACAAAAAAAAAGAAGCATAATTGATCAAGAGATGTGATGTGTATTTTTGAGAAAGTCAAGAGTAAGTTTTCGGAAGAGTTATGATTTATGACATCGGACAAGGAAGTAGAAACTAAAGACGACCTTAAAAAACAAATTTCCTGTTTTATATATAAATAAATACTATATCAGATTTAATCTTCTGGAACCAAAGAAGAAATGAGAATTTTTTTAGCCCTTTTTATTGAGCAAGTAGACCTAACTCAGCTTTTGCTGGCCAAGGGTCACAATCAGAATTTGAATGACAATGTATACATTTTTGAAAAGGAGCAGTGAAGTCATTTTATTTTAATTATTATTAGTTTAAATTTTTTCCTATTTGTTGGATGGAAAAGGCAATAAAAATAAATTTGACTTTAGCTTTCCTGTATACTTTCTTCTTTTGATAATTACCAAATTCTTGTCCCTATGAGAAGAGATAGTGACAACTTACGAAAGGAAGTAAGACCCTTTAAATGCCATAACAATTTGAATTTCTGTAGTATAGAAAGAGCCTGGATCCTTTCTAAATGATTCACTTAATTTCTGATCCAATAGTTCCAACATGCCTGTACGATTTGATAGGTCTTCTGTGATGTAACACATTTGACTTGAACCACATGTAAGTGAAAAATCAGGGTTTAATGCTATCTATAGAAAGGGAAGGGCTGACTGCTGGGCACAGTTTTGCCAGTCTGCAGACTTCTACAAATTAGTACCAAAATCTGTTGTAAAGTATGTCTTTCTGTATAGGTCCCCCAAATGACTAGGATGAAATTTCTTTTAGCTTTTGCTAATCTTTGCTGCAAGGTGCTAATGGGGGAGTGTTGTGGTTCTCATTTATAGAAGTGTGGAGAAGCAGAGACTGCATGGTTTACATTTGTGGCACTGCCTGCAAATCATGTTTATGTTTAAATTAGCATTTCATAATCAGTTAGGCGCCCAGTCATACTGCTGCTAGTTCCAAGTTCACACTGAACTTGATTCTTACCTGAGAGATGATTTTCTGTATAGCTTCAATGATCTGTTTTTTGTATTTTATTTACTTCTACTGCTATCATTTCAGTAAATTCAAGTTGGTCGCTTTTGAATTCCTCTATCTCATTGTCCCCTAGACTTGCCCTGGGTGGGCTGGAGGACTAGGATTGCATTTTACTTCTGTTATGTGTCCTGTTATTTTCTGCTTTTTAAATTTTATTTTGTTTTCTGTGTTGATGCTTGTAAGTTCCTTATGACAGATACCTTTATCGCTAGTATCGAGGCTTCCATAGGGACTGTCTATTCCTCAGAGATGTCTTCTGGGTGTAGGTGGTTCTTGGTCTTTGTATCTGTCCCAAGATCCTACCTTCCCAATTTATTAAGCATCAGAAGTTGCTATCTGTTCGGCTCAGCACCCAGTCCTTTGGTACTGGACTATGGTGATGGTTATGACCCCAGACAATCATATAGTGTTGTCATACAAGGGAGAACAACTGATTACAGCAAGTATGACATCCTGGCTAAAGTAGTACCATTAACAATAATAATAGTATCATCAAACACAGCCTAGAAACTGACAAACTGTGGTAAATATTAATTTGGTACCTTTAACCATAGGAGCAAGATCTATAGTTGTATAACAAAATCCAACAGAAACCAGGAACTTGTACACAGTGAGTTTCCCCTTAGTGGAGTGATTTTGCCCTATAGGGGAGGATTTAGAAGGATAGAGGACAGAACAGAGAGATAAATGAATGGAAATAATGTAGAGGAAAGGCTGGAGGATCAAAAATGATCACCTAAGCTGTGGGAAACTGGAGAAGAGGGCAGGAGACAAAGAATGTAGAATAAAGTGGACTTGATTCTTGAAAGACTGATTTAAAAGATTACTTTGTCCAGATGGAGTGGCTATTGGAATTCTCTGCTGATGCCTGAACACTTTGTTTGTGGGTTCTGGGATCCTCTGAGGTGACCAAACTCTGTGGATTCTTAAGTCCTTTATATAAAATTGGTGTTCACATATAACCTACACCCATCTTCCTATATACATTAAACATTTCTACTTGACTTATAAAACCTGAAACAATGTAAATGCTACATCCATGGTTGCTATGCTGATTGGATTTAGGGAATAATAACCAAGTCTGCAGTGTTCAGTACAGAAGTATTTCTTTTGAAAAATATTTTTGACAAATGGTTTGTTGAATCTACGGCTACACGGGAGCATGTAGATATGGAAGGTGGGCTGTACTTTGATTCTCTCATTACCTTAACAAGAAAGCTTATGACCTAGAAACCACTGGGGACCTCTGTTTTGTGTTTTGATCTCTTCATTACAGAACCAAGTGTGTAGCTCACTGCTATTTCCTAGCCTCTTTTTTAACCAGACCCTGTCTTCAGCCTCCTTCTAAGGATAGTGAGAGCCACTTGGATACATGACACTAACCTTAGGTCTTTGTTCCTAGCAAATTACATATTCTGTATTAGCTTTCTCATTGCTGGGACAAAATACATGGCACTCACAACTTTAAAGAGGAGAGGTTTATTTGGCTTATACAATAATTGTGAGGGTTCAGTCCAGGGCTGGCTGACTCCAAAGCAGAAATGGCATGGTAGAAGGGCCTGGTAGAGGAAAGCAGTGCAGTCCACAGCAGTTAGGAAGAAAAACAAATGCAAAAGCTGAAGCAAGATATACACCCTTCCAGGTCACACCCCAGAGACCCACCTCCTCCATCCAGGCCCCACCTCCTAACAGCATGTTCTGCTACAAGCTCATCAACTGATTAATCTGCCCAGCGCCACCATGACCCACTCACCTTGCAAAAGGCCCACGTCTGAACTCAAGACTTCTGAAAAGCACTTTAGATCCTCCTTATGACACTCTCAGAATTCCTCATGCCTCCTATTCCACACCACGTAGCTGACAACTGTGGGCTGCTTGAGGGATACAGGCCAACAGCCCAGCTGGGTAGTTTTAGAACACTTCTTTAATGGTATGCCGGTTCATCAGCTTTTGATCTCTCTTATTGTTTCTAACTTTCTGTAATTTTTCAAATAAAATTCTATTTTACTCCTTCTATGTAGATTCATAAAATTTTGGATCAGTTCTCTTCCTCGTATGGTCAGGGACTGTGTCCTTTTTAGTGCAGAGTCAACCAGTGAGAAAGTAGATAATCATGTTTTCAACCTAAACAGCATATGGGTCATTTTCAATGGTTCAGAACCTACTTTAAAACTTACGGTCTGTCCCTAAGGTCCTATAGAGGGATCTGTTATTGTCCTACTATGGGGTGGGGAAATATTGTTCCATGATGCCTGGTGACAGAATGCCAGACACAGCAGACATACTGACTTTTCTGACTTTTTATGTTTGTGACTAAATACTTTGAATTAAATATCATGTTTTTTCTCCTTTTTTATTTTATTAGTTCCTTTTGAGTCATAAGTATGATTACTCACTAATCTCTAATATAGGTGAGGCCATTTACATGCATTTATGGTTAACTTCACTTGCCATACAAAATTTTTGTGTATGTACAATGCTAAGTGAAATTTTCCTTGTTTCTATGGAAATTCTTACAAATTTTAGGTATTAAATCACATATACATAATCACTTATGGAGGTGATACATCACATGAGAGTCCTAGAAATTCCAACTTTGATATTTACGTATCAAACTACTTTCATTTGTATAAATGGGGTTCTGGTGGCTGGAATTCATGAGAGATAAGAATTTAAACATTTCAACTGTATTAATTTCAAAGACATACATCTCAAATGAGGCTAACATCATTACTCTGTAATGAAACTTGATTAGAGGAATATGCATTTTAATTGATTCATTAATTTTCTATACTTAAATAGTCCCTTGTAAAGGGTTCAGAAATATTAAATGTTTTCTTCCCAAGCCAATTCAAACAAAACAAGTTAATGCTAATCATTGTTTTACCAAATGATTTTCAAAGATCATGCAAAGCAATGCATGAACCTCAATTTTATATTTTCACTGACATATAGTTTTGGGCACAGGTTTTTAAACATGAACTATACTTGCTACTGTAATTGCCTGTTCCTTTATTAATGGGCATTAATAGCTAGAAAGTTATTTTGAATCAGTTATTACTTGACATACTGTTGATGTGTAACTCCAAAGAGGTGGCACAGTGAAAGGGCTTTGTGAACCAAAGAAAAGAATCACCCTTGCTATTGATGCCCTGGACTGGCACTGCCAGAAGTGGATTCTGATATCCAGGTCTCAGCCTCAGCTGCATGGAACCGACACTCGAGGTAAACACGTACCCTGTCACATGCTTGCAGGCCCAAAGGATCAGGTCCCAGGTCAACAACAGAACACATTGATGATGTTAGGTTTACTTTGGGTATTTCAGGAAGTTTCATTAAGCACACTTGAGACAGGTTTAAGGAAGTGAGCTATTACACCAGAAAATCAATCTGTTTGGATAAAAGCATGAGTCTCAACTATTCAAGATGCAATGTATAAGCCCCTTACTAAAATTTGAAGTTGCACTGCATAGTTTGTTACTCCTGACAGCCAAGATCCAAGCATGTGAGATGGAAAATTTCACAACTCCTAAGTTTTAAATTCACACTGTTCTAACATGCATTTCATTTCATGCATTACTGTCCTGCTGTCCTATGCTTTGTCCAGTGTATCCACAGTGTATGAGCTACCTACCCACCAGTCACCTAGTAGCTGTTGGGTTACCAGTTAGACTGCCACAGTATTGCAGGGCTTGTGCTCAGTTCATCTTTCTTTACTTAGTAATGCTGTTACAACATGTGAGTAGTGATGGTGGCAGTACAGATACACCAGAGGAGCTGCAGTGCTTCTTTTAACAGAAAAGGTGAAAGTTCTTGATTACAAAGAAAAAAGTCATATTCTGAGGTTGGTAAGATCTGCAGGAGGAACATCTTCTATTCTTGATATTGGGAAAAAAGGAAAAAGAAATTTGTACTAATTTGTTGTCATACCTAAAACTGCAAAAGCTGTGGTTACTATGCACAATAACTGCTTAGTTAGGATGCAAAAAAATTAAATTTATATATGTTTAGGAAAAAACAGGATACATAAGGTTCAGTTCCAACATGATTTCAGGCATCCTCTTGCATGAACATGTGGCCCTTGGGTGGTGTCTTAGTTACTTTCTTGTTGCTGAGGCAAAATATTCCATGCCCAAAGTTAAAGGGGAAAGGTTTATTTAGCTCACAGTTTGTAGAGGTTTGAGTCCATAGTTGGCTGCCTCCAAGAGAGAGTGGCACACAGCAAAGGGGCGTCACACAGGAGAGACAGTTCAATGCATGCAGAAGACAGCAAAGGCAATAAGGGAATTTAACACTGTCTTTCTACCCCTTTTATCTTATCCAGACTACTTAGGACCAGTAGCACTCACACCCGTAATCCTAGTGCCCTTGAACCTAGCATCACACCATGACACACTCTAGTTCCACCCACCTCTGCAAAAGGCCCACCTATGACCAGATGAGGCTTTGAGGACACAAGCCATAACAGGTATGGAACTGAGGGAGAGATTTCTGGTAAACCTGATAAAAGGCTATCTCTCATCCATGTTATAAAGTGCAACATTTAACTATTATTTTCTCTCACAGTGTATTCTTTTTTGTTGTTATTGTTACCGAGGATTGAACTTGGGAACTTGCGCTCCCAAGGCAGGTGACCGCACCACTGAGCTAAATCCCCAGCCCTCACAGTGTATTCTTGGAAGAAGGATTTTTTCTTAAGAGGTGGTACAGTTTAAACCAAGACTGACAGCAATGTAAGTCTTCATGTACACCAGATTTGTACAATTCACTTTTATGTTACATGTTATTAGTAGTAATTAATGCTTTTCCTTAATGTCTATAATTATCTTGCCCACTTAAGGAACAACACAAGCTCTCTTAAAACTCTTCAAAATAAGATTCAGCACCATTTCTTACAATGTGTTGACTCAGGAAAAGCCTTGTTTTGACTATTACTGTTTTCATAGAGAGCTGTCTATAAGATGTCTGGTGAGTTTAGATGATCTTTTTGGGAAAAAAAGAACTATAGAGAAAATGTTTTAAGGTCTATATTTGTGCATCTGCTTAATTAGAAATAAATCTTCTATGATGTTATCTCAAAACTACTCTACTGGCCAGCAGTATAAACTTCAGATTCTGAACATATTTGATGCTATGTAATGGTTGTAAACATCAAATTTATATCAGGACATAATAATGGCTTCTAAACATACAAATTTATTAGAGTAAAGAACAACTATAATTTCAAAGAGATTTTATTTTTGACAAATATTAAGAAACTGGCAAACTCTTCAGGAAAAAAATTAGGACTGAGTAGAGGTTCGTTAGGTCTGGCGCCCTGTGCAGGAGGAGCTGGGTCACTCAGTTTGCTGGGCAGGTCTGGGCAGATCTGGGCATCGCCCTCCTGTAAGCTTGCTGTGCATCCCAAACTGTTCTGTTCTTTGAATGCAGCTGCCCAAATGCCTGAATTACTCTAGCCAGGGCTGCAGCAAGCCTGCCGGGTCTCTGCATGATGCAGGGTCCACAGGAGAGGACAGGAAGTGCTCCAGAAGCATCCTGCCTGTGCTGCAGTGCCTGCTCTTAGAAATGCGCACCCATTCTCTGCAGGTGGTCCCAGAAGGGGCAGAGTGTTGGACACTCACCAGTAGCCTGTCTGATGTAGTACTAGCTCTGCCCAGATCACACACCTGGGTGTCACAGCAGCTCCCGGGGACCGCCCTGAGGGCCCCCTTGTCCTGCCCTCCTCCAGTTCACCTGTCCCTTAAGGCACATGCACAAGCCAGGTTCCTGAGGTGCAGGGCATGCAAGCAGGTCCCAGCCCTTCTGTGGGCTCCAGCTGACTCCTGGAGGAGTCTTCTCCATCCAGACCCCCAGCCTGGGCTGAGGCCTTTCAGTGTAGCCCCAGTGGCTGGGCACCCCTGCCTGTCCTTTACTTGTCCCTCTGGACACGAGGGCAGGTATGCCTTGGCACAATGGACAGAGCCAGGCCTCCAGAGCCCAGCCCCAAGCCTTACCCCCTCATGCTTTCTAGCTGTGGCCGCCCTAATACAGCAAAGAGTGCCATTCCCTCCAGGAAGCTTCCAGGCAGACAAGATCCCAAAGAATATTAGACTGAACTCTAAGAAGAGATGTTTTACTGATGGTTAAGGAAGGGTCACAGAATTACTCGAGACCTTAGAGGACACAATAGCACCAATATTAAACACATTTATTTTCCCTGAGTTTCCAGTCCACAAACAATACAGATTATGGAACAGTGCTTTTCAAGCATTACTGCACAACTGGATCAGCTGGATGGTTGTTAAAGGGTCTCTAGGAGTCTGTGGGAGGGTGAGTGGCCTGTCCCCCATGGCCCTAGATGCGCATGTGGTGGCCAACCACACTGTGAACAGCAGGACACTGGACAATGTAGAAGACTGCGAGAGACATGTACTAGGAAGAACACCATGTTAACAGAATGCTAAAGTCACCAATGTACAGTAACAAAAATGTTTCTACAAGGATCCATCTTTGGTTTTCAATATTTCCATATGCCTGGTCAATTCACAAAGCCTCACTAGTTCACAGGCTTTAACTTCAAAAATAAAGTGCTATGATCTTAAAAATAAAAACATGGCCAAACTTAAGAACTTTTAGGAAACTCATGTATTTCTAAGAGTGAGGGAAAATCAATCTTTGCAGAAATTCCCGAATTTCTATTTCATTGCATAAACCCCAGATTTCTGTCCTTTTGAGTCTGATCTCCATGACACTTAGCATGCTCCTTAAGGAAAAGGCCATTCATACCACATTTCCGTCTCTCAGCACATAGCTTTTGTATGAAAGTTCACATTGTTATTTCTACAATAAAAAGTTCATTATGTTTCTTGCAGCCAGGTGAGAAAAAGGACAATGTTCAAACTAAAACATAATTCTAATGGTCATAAATACTTAAGTTTACCCCACACATACAATTTCTAAAACTATGGAATTTACAAACAATAAATATTAATATTGCAACAAATTAGTGTATTAAAATTTCATTTACAATCATATGTCATGTGCATTCGGTTGGAGATGGGAATAATATCTTAGTGGGCTAATTAAGAGGATCAAAAGGAATGTGGACCTTGGCAGTGTGTGAGGAAAGGGGTCTTTGTCATTCTTAATCTCATCAATGTTGCCCCAGTGGTCAGCGTGCCCAGCCGGTGCCTCCCTGAGTTGGCACAGACTTTTCTTGGGGCCTGGCCCTGGCCCCCTGGGTGCTGCTAATGAAATGGAAGTTTAGAGAAGGCTCGGGAAAAGGCAGGCCCAACATTGCTTGTGGCTCAATGTGGCTCTTTCTGGGCACAAAATTAAAATGAAATAAAGGACATGACTTTGAACATGAATCCTATGGAACCATGCTTCTCCTAGATGGCCTGTATGGAATACCATGGACCCTTAATCTGCATAAAAATGTGCATTTTGTTTTGTTTTGTTTTGGTTTTTTTTTGGTATTGGGGATTAAACTCAGGGCCTTGGCCCTTTTGAGACAGGATCTCACTAAGTTGCTAAGTTGTCCAGGCTGGGCTTGAACTTGCAATCCTCCTGCTTCAGTATCTCTGAGGGCTGGATTACAGGTGTGTGCTACCAGGCCTGGCTTTGCCGGCTGGTTTAATCCAGAAGCTTCTCTAGGATTTTCACAATGGGAAGCTCCAGGGGACCAGTGCATCCCTAATGTGCTGGCCTACTTCTCGGTGGGCATGCGGTCATGGCTTCTTCCTCCTCCCACACATCGAGAGCTGTGGTTCCACTGCCATTCCCTCTCATGCAGCCAGGAACTTTTTTTCAACTGGAAGGTTTAATTGTTTGGTCCAGAAGAGAGTATTTCAGGTAAACATTGTACATGGTCCCTCTTGGCAAAGCTTTGGTCTAATCCTAACTTTCCAAGTGTCCCTATGACTTCCAATCATCCCACAAACATAACTGCAGGGCTAGAGCATGCCACATACAAATGACTCACTTACAGCCTTGGCCCCTTCCATACTTTCTTTCTCATTGTGGCCACTGGCCCCGATTGAACACTGCCAATTGTCCAAGTGTGTCCTACTCACTTTTTAACTTCCCACTCCGAGCACCCCCAGAGTGAGGTTTGTTGAACAACATTATAAGAACAGCTACCAAGGCTAAGCCAGCCCCAAGACCGGGGGGCCCACGGGGGCTGAGCTCCTGGGCCACTCCTGAGAGGAGAGGAGCAATGATGCGGGCTACAGCAGTCACTGACTGTCCCACGCCGATGACAGTGCCGCTTGCGCGGGCACCACCCACAGTCAGCTGTAGGTCAGTGACACAAGTCCTGCCAACAGCAGTGGAGAAGGACAGGAGTGTAGAGGTCAGGACCACCAGGGCCACAGTGCCAGCCGAGGCATGGAGCAGCAGCAGTGCACAGGTGAGAGCACTGGAGTGTAGCAGGGCCGTGTGCAAGTTGTGTCTATAGAAGTGGAGGATGGGGCCTAGGATGAGGCCCGCCAGGGCACCCAGGGCACTGCTATAGCTGATGAGGTAGCCTGAGGTCCGAGGCTGCACCCCGAAGCGCTCCTCCAGTGCCAGGACAAAGTTGCTATGGTACAGCATCACTGCCACCCCCATGAGTAGGCGCACGAGAAGGATGTCGCCCATCTCGGAGCACACCAGGCTTTGAGCATCCTGCAAGGCCAACCTGACCTCCATCCAGGGGCTCGGAGGAGCAGTCTTTGTGGCCGTGGGGCTGGTGGCTGCTCTTTGAGGCTCAGGGTCTGTCCTTCTCGACAGTGACTGGTCCTTAACCCATCCTGGGCCATTCTCTGTCCTGTTGACTTCTGTGCCACTCCAAGGAAAGAGCCAAATGAGACCTGGTAAAGAGATGCACCTTGAGACCACGATGTTGAACAAAATTAATCAGACACACAGCTAAAATCATTGCATGGTTCCTCTTGCATGAGAAATCCAAGTATAGCTATATCACAGGGCAAAATAAAAGACAGATAGTAGGAAACAGGGAGAGAGATCTTTTGCAAATAGCTAGGGGACCAAGAGATGGAGGGGGGAGGAAGGGCAGGGAGGGAGAGGGAATGAGAAAAGAATTAAGCTGTGTCATGTGTGTAAACCAACTACCTACAACGAATGTAATCATTATACTGCAAACATAGACTCAGAAAAATTGAAAAAAGAAAAAAAATGGCGTGAGACTTGTCAAAGGGCTGAGCGTGTGGACTTCCACAGACCTCCAGGGAAGGAGCTGTTACCTGTACTAGGTTACTAATCTCTATTCTGTACTAGATTTACTAGTCTGTATTTCTGATCCCAATATTTTCACCAGTCCCATAGTCCTATTGTGATATGAGGATTCAAGCATGTCTTCTTCAGTTTAAAAGAAAACAAAACAAAAACACCAAAACTATATACAATAGAGTCACTTTGTCCCCAGCTCAAAGCCCATGGAAGTTTTCTAGATCCCATCACTTCATATTTAACATCTTATAAATTTAAACTTATACTTACTTCTTTACTTCATACATTTCCTAATTCTCTGTCTACCCACCAACTGCCCATCCATCCATCCATCCATCCTTCCATTTATCCATCCATCCATCCATCCATCCATCCCAACATCCAACATTTATAGAGCACTTTCTATGTGCTAAGCCCTGTGCTCAATACTAGGAATCCAATAACAGGAAAGACAAGGCCTGCCAATATCCTGTCCTTAAAGAATTTAACCTAAGGAGGCTCAGATAAGTAAGCAGGCAAACAGGTTCCGATGGGAGGCCATGCTGGGGAGACACAAGTGCTGTGGACCCTGGCAACAACAGATCTTGGCTTGACAGGCAGCAGGGACAATTTGACAGTAATGACTCTCAGGAAGCCTCTATTGGGTCCTCCCCCAGCAAGGCCACTGTGTTTCTCCAGTCACACATGCAAAACCTCAGGATGCCATCATCATAAATCATGACACAGCCTTACAGCACCCTCTCAGTCTTTCTCCTGGCACCCTCCTGCCTCTGGCATGCTCCTGGCTCTGCTGTTTTATTTATTCTGTGCCATCCAGGTAGAAAAACTTCTTGCCAGTGCATGCTCTAAAACCTTCTTAAATCTGAAGTCCAACTTGCCATTCTATGACATCCTTCCAACACCTCCCTACTGGTCTCTCAATCTTTCAGATTTAAAAGCTCAACATGGACCAGTGGCTGAACTCAGGGCGATTTCATGTTGTCTGTACCAACCTTGTCTTTGTGTGTGGTTTTTCAAAAAAAAAATAGAGTAAGTGCTTCAGCCAAGACATGCTTACAACAGAAAACCAATCACATGAGAACATGGATTGGGACTTTTCATCTATTTCTACCTTTAAAGGGGTCCTTGGATACTTCAGAGAATATTAATAAAAAACACAAAAGAACTGTCACTGATGGACTAACAGTAAGGATAGAATTAATATAATTATAACAATAAAGATGACCGCTGCTGACGTCCACTGTGTTGCTCACCACGTGCAAGATGCGAGAGTGAACTGCTTGCCTGCAGAGCCTCTTCTAGTCCCCAGAACAAGGCTGTGAGCTTTGCTATCCCACATTAAAGATGAGAGCATGGGACACAGAGGCAGCTTGACCAAGGCACATACCAGTGAGTGGCAGGGCGGGGAGCCTTGAACCTGAGTCGACTACAGCCCAGGGTCTCAGTTGCTAACCAGATAGAAGTCATGGAAGGAAGACAAGAGAAGGCTTTCTAAGGCCACAGAGCAGATCAGAGCCAGGACAGGAGCAGCTGATGGAGTGAAAAGGGCAGAGGAGAATGGGTGCAATCATCGAAGAGGAAAAAGTGGTGAGGCTGGAACAAGGAAAGCACAGTACGGTGTGCACTGCATGAGGGGGGACCCTCCTGCTGCCTGGCCTGGTCTTTCTCTGGCTCCTCTGTATACTCAGTGTCGGCCCAGGCCCACCATGCCCCAGTTTTCTTCAGTGAGAAAAAGAAATCCCTATAACTTTATGCCCTTGTAGGTGAAAACATCTACAGCTGAGTGTATTCTTAACCCACCTTGGCTTAAGTTAGGGCAGAAAATTAAACTGCACTCTCACTGGGAAATCCAAAGGAGAGCGCCAAGATCACTTTTATTTACATGCTCTGACAGTTCATGGTGGTGTCAATTTGAATAAGAAACACCCAGTGGATTAATTTAGCACAGTTCTGGGTGTAGACGATGGACTTACTGAAGAGGAAAGACCCAGCCTGGATGTGAGTGGCACCAACCAAAAGGCTTGTAGCCTGGATGTAATAAAATGGGAAAGGAGAAGGAAGTCTGGCTTCTGCTACTTTGGAGGAGCTCCAGACATCAATATGGCCTTTGGATATTGTTCTCCAGGCTTCCTGCACAGACCCTTTGTCTTCCCAACAGGGACTCGCATGGGACTCTGTGGTGAGTTCCAGACCTTCGATTTTTGACTGGACCCTCCAGTTCTCCAGTGCACAGATAGCTCTTTTACACTCTCCCACACTTGATTCTGCAGGCAGCCACTGTAAACCTACCTTCTAAATCCTTTATATATCCTATATATTCTATATATTAAATCTACTCCTCCAGGGAACCCTAACTGATACATACACTGACTTTGCACTTGGTATGATTTCACATTCAGGTACCTTCCTTTATATGGGCTGGTTCAGACCATGCCAGCTGATCGTGTCCTTCAAGTCATTTTATCTAGATTTATGCCAACCCATCAGGCCTGCCTTCCTGGCTGAGGTTACAGGTTAAGATCCTGCAGAAAACTACCAACTCAGGCAATACTCTTAAGTGAAATAAATAGGGCACACATGTATAAATACTGAATAGTTTCTCTGGTGTGAGAAACTGAAAGTGTAAATAGGGACTAAAATGTATAATAGGTAATGTGAAATAGGAAGAAAAGGGTCAAAGGGGAAGGAAGTGGGAGGGCTAGGGGAAAGGATAGAAGGGAATGGGATTAATATGAGAAAATGGAAAAATAGGATCAAAATCTTTGTAAATAGGGAGGACTGGAGGGGTTGAAGGGAGGGCTGGGTAAGAGTGAAAAATAAGAACCAAGAGAGATTATGTAAAGTTGCAAATTTCCAATGATGAATGTCATTATATTGTATACCTAAAATGTACCAATGATTAGAATGAATAATCGATAATGCAAAATAGGAAGAAAAGGTCCAAAGGGGTAGGGGTAGTGGGAGGGGCAGGGGAAAGGAAAGAAGGGAAAGGAAAAATGCTGAGAAATGGAAAAAATGGAAATAAAGTCTTTGTAAATAGGGAAGGGTGGAGGGGGTGAAGGGAGGGCTAGGAATGGGGAAAAAATAAGAACCAAGATGCATTATGTAAAGGTACAATTCCCAATGAGAAATGTAATTGTGTTGTGTACCTAAAATGTACCAATAAAAGAATTTAATTAAAAAAATCATACCACAGTGATATATGTGCACCCATGTTCATAGCTGCACAGTTTGTAATAGCTAAATCTTGGAAGCAGCCCAAGTGCCCATCAACTGGGAAGTGGATAAAGAAGATGTGGTTTCTTAAATAAATGGAGTACTACTCAGCCATAAAGAATGAGAAACTAGAGACATTCATAGGTAAATGGATGCATATTGAGGCCATACTCTTAAGTGAAATAAACAGGACACACATGAGTAAACACCGAATAGTTTTTCTAGTGGGAGAAACTGAAAGTGTAAATATGGTTTAAAACGAGTAATTAATAAGCTGAAATAGGAAGAAAAGGTCCAAAGGGATAGGGGAAGTTGGAGGGGGAAGGGGAAAGGTAAGAAGGGAAAGGTAAAATTATGAGAAAAGGTAAAAAATGGAAATAAAGTGTTTGCAAATAGGGAAGGGTGGAGGGTGTGAAGGGAGGACAGGGAATGGGAATAGGAAAAAAAAAACAAACCAAGATGTATCATGTACAGGTCCAGGCACCCAATGATAAATGTAAACATATTGTATACCTAGAATGTACCAAGAAAAAATTCAAGCAAAAAACACACAAACAAAAAAAAAGAAAACTACCAACTCATCTTACAAAAACTGAGACAAAACTCATGAACTTCATTTCCCAAATCTGAGATCCTGACTCAACATGGAATTTACTGCTCAACACCATTCCCTGAATGTGGGAATTCAAAAGCTGAACTAGTGGGATCTGATCCTGTACCAGGGAAGTGAAAAGTATGGCGGCTGCCTATGCCCCACTCCTTGGGCAAACGTGAAAGATGTGTTAGGCACCTGGCCCAGCCTCCAAGGAGCCCATAGGCCAGGAAGAAGTCTTTGACATATCAAATATGATTGAATATCTAGTCTGTCCTGAGTAGGAGTAGCAGCAATGAGAAGATCTGACAAAATCCTGGCCCTCTGGAGTGTGCTTACTACAGTGTGTGCGTGTGTTTGACAGGGCAACAAACAGAATATAGTAGAAGTACTATGAAGACTGATCCTACAAGGTCTAAGGAAGCAAATATCTGAGGTGTGAATGATAGGAAGAAGAGAAAGCCTGGAAAGATAGGTGGAAAGAATATGGCAGTGGAAGAAGAAGCGAGGACAACCCCCTTGGGTGGGAATCAGCCTGGTATGTAAGAGGTTTACCAGGAAGCCAGTGTGGCTGATGCACACGGAAGGGGCAGCAAGGCAGTGACTGCCCACAATGGTGTAGGCTATGTAAGCATGGGAACACCATTGGGGAGGCCTCAGGAGTCTGCTCAGGGCAGGGGATAGTGCAGTCTATCCTTTTCTTTCTTTCTTCTTTTCTATCTTTCATCCATAATTTGATTTAAATTTTTAATATACTCATAAAATAAAGCAAATTTTCATTTAATTGAAAACTAAAAGAATATGTTATTATATAAAAGAATGAAAGTGGACCCTATTTTATATCATACATAAAAATAAACTCAAAATGAATATTAAAAAGAAACTCATAAAAACTGAAACTATAAAACTCCCAGAAAAACAAAAGTGGGAAGAAGCATCTTAAAACTGGCTTTGGCAATGGTTTCTTGGATTTGAGCCCCAAAGCACAGGCAGCAAGAGCATAAATAGACAAAGGGGGCAGCATCAAACTAGAAAGCTACTGCACCATATGGGAAACAATTTGCAAAAGTGACCTGTAGATGGGTATGTGATTTGCAAATCTGATCCACATCTCATAAAAAGTTAGCATCCAAAATATACGGGTATTCTTACAACTCAACAGCAAATGTAAGACATGATTAAAAAATGAGCAAAGAGGTGAAATAGACATTTTGCCAAAGGATGGCCAACAAGTATTTGAAAAGATGTTCAACATCATTAATGAAGCAAATCAAATCCACAATAAATGCTACCTCATCCCTGTTAGGAGGGTCATTAAAAAACATAAAAGATAAATGCTGTGGAGGAGCAGGAGGCCATGCACACTGGTGGTGGTGAAGCGGCCAGGTACAGCTACAGTGGAGAAAAGCATGAGGATTCTTCAAGGTGACCTTTATTTTTAATCAGTGACTATGTCTATTCTAAAAACAACCAGATTATAAGGAAATGAGAGTGGGTAGAATTTAGTAACATCCGCAGAGCAATCTTCCATGACTACATGCCACTTACCGGCGTTGAGCAGGAAGACAGAGCAGCAGGTGAGTGCAGTGAGGCGGAAGCCGCCCTCCAGCTCAGCCAGGTAACCACCTAGCACGGGGCCCAGGATGAAGCCTGCGCTCGACGCTGTGTTGAACTGGCCCAGCACCACAGGCCGCTCCTTCTCCACCACCAGATCAGATAGCAGTGCCCTGGAGATGGACAGGGTGTGCTTGAAAATACCTGTAAGGGGACAGGAAACATATTCCGTGACATTTCCCAGGCCAGAAGGATATCTCCTGTGATCTCACACCTGGTCTCTGTCCAAGATGGAGATCTGACCTCTATCTTCTTTGAAACCCCAAGCCTGCAAGTCTCACCCCATCGGAACTGGATTCCTGGCCTAATGCCACAGCTGCGGTAGGTGAGCGATCCATGACACAACCCCTGAGCCCTCAAGTGCCTGCTTCCTGTCATGACATCTGCCTCTTCCAGTCCTCTCTGTTATCTGACTGCCATCATGGTGACTTCCTTCAGAGTTATTTCTGTTTCCATTCTCCTCCTGAGCAAAAGACTGCATGCCTGCTGTGTCCAGCACTGATCCCAACAAAGACATTGATTCCTGCCCTCCTAGAGCCTGGATTTTCCTGGGGAACCCACAGTGGATCTACCCAAAGGTGACAGAGGCTATGGAGAGGAACAGAGCATGGAAGGGGACTAGATGTGAGCAGAAAGATGATGGTGCCTTCATCTAGGCAAACGCCAACTGCCTTCTACTTCTGCAGCAAGAAGCTGGCGGATCTGCTATCCAACCTGCCTGCGACCTGTGATGTGACTTTATCTTCCTCCTAGGACTGCGGATGTGTTTAACTCCTACACACCCGAGACCCCTGTGGAGCTGCTGAGGGACTCTGACAGCAGGATGCCCACTGTCCGGATGGATACACAGCAAGGATTCAGCCAGGCTGCTATGAGTGACCTAGATCACTCTGAACTGCACCTGACACAGTAGCCTCTGTGGATCCCTCACCAGTGGACTCATTCCACATGGCACTGTGCTTATTCTGGGTTGATTCCCCCAAGATGCCCAGGATTCAATATGAGATATGGATGAGCCAGGCAGCCAGCCCTTTTGGAAGCAAACTGACAAGACCTGTAGGAATAAGACTAACTCTAGATGCATTTCCTTACATGTGGCAAAGGGCTGGGATAGAGGATGACTTCCAAGACATCTTGCAGAAATTCTGAGATGGGTTCTGAGTCCATGTGGACTCACCTGTGCCCAGGAGGACTGTGCAGTGAGCACCCTGTGACCACAAAGACGAGTGAGTGGTCCCTTGTCTCTGAGAGGTGAGGAAGGTAAAATGAGGTATCACATTCACAGGCACATTCACAGTCAGGACCTGAGGATCTGAATCCACAACTGACCATGGGCATAAGAAGCCTGATGACACTCCAGGTCCCACTGTTTGCGGCCAAACACTGAGAAGGCCGTATTGGTGAGAAAGGATGCTATGTATAGCTCTCCTTGTTTGATGAGATCGAGATGGTGGTAAAACAAAGCTATCATCTTTTCAACCAGAATCTTTTCACATTAAATCACTTCAATCCTCCCCATTAACCTCTGGCCATTGTATAACAAGCCAGGTTCTCTCATCTGTCTTTGGGATAATGAACAGTGCACACCACTGACTGGCAGGGTGTGTGATATACAAAGACACTGCTAACCAAACTGAAGGCACATGGTAAACCTAACACTGATGCCCAAGGAGCAGCTACTGTCTGGGGCTTGGGCATGGTGATAGGTTTGTGAGGATCATGGGCCACATTTGAGCCAAGATGTTAGTCAACAAAAAGCCACAGTATGCATTTTGGAGGGAGTACTCAGATGACACTCTAAGTATATATGCACGTCATAGAGATGGTGGGGCACTTCCAAATGAGCACAGCATCAGCTGTTTGCTAAATGACCTATTCTGTTCCTTCCAGGTGCTAAGCTAGGCCAAGCAGCTAGCTGAATGCGGGCAGACATCCAGCACTGCAGACCTGGGGGCCAGGGCTGAAACGGCTGCTGGGCTCTAGCAGGCAAGGTGAGGAAAGAAAACTAGAAACTCCAGGGCTCTGACCACCAGGAAAGGCCAGGAGGGCATAAAGCACTTCTGCCATAACCACCCAGCCACCAGATACCACTGGCATTTACAAATAGTGAAATGTTTCAAGGAGTGCACTAAATAAAGCACTTCAGAAGGGAGTAATAGTCAAGAGCAGTCTCAGAGCAGGAAGCCATCCAGGCCAGTCTCAATTGAAGTCAGTAGCCCGGGTACAAAGTGAGAAGCTCACTTCACCCAGAGAGGGGACAGAAATCATGGTACTGCCCAAAGACAACAAGTATTTCTACTCAGCGCTGAGAGCTGGGGCAGAAAGGAGGTAGGTCGGGTGTGGGCACAGTGCCCATGGGACAGTCTGTGGGGACTCCCAGACCTGCCTGCTACGAGGTCTACAGCTTTGGCTAAGGCAGCAGAATGCCAGCCCAGTGCTCCAATATCACAGCTGCTGAAGGTGCAGCTCTTGCCGTCACATTCTCTGGGGAGGACCACATTCTCTGTGGGGGGCTCTCCTTGGGGACCAGTGGCAGCGGCAGCAGGGCCGGACTCAAGGGCACAGAGAGAGGGGCAGAGACTCACCCACAGGGACTCGAGCCAGGGCAAACAGGAACACGCTGGTGGAGGCTCCGAGGAGGAGATAGCCCAGGGCACTGAGTAGAATGCACAGCAGCAAGGAGCAGCGTCTTCCCACCACATCGCTCCAGCAGCCCTGAGGAGAGGGACACAGGTCTGTATTGACACCCACTACCTGGCAGAGCCCCACAGAGGGACCCAGAGTTCTGGGGGGGGAGGGGGGCTGGCTTGCTGTCCCCAGGGGCACACAGCTCTGCTATGCCATCCACCAGGTAGTTATTTGCTCTGTCCTCCCACAAGGTGAGTGGGGACAGACCACACTTTTCTTGGTCCAAAAAAATAAAGCCTGATGATCCGGCAGCTGGGAATCAGCTGGTGAGAGGGTGGAGTATCATTCACAAAGGCTTATTTCTGCCTTCCTTCTTTTGTGCAACTATACTTCTCAGATACCAGTTCATTGTTTAGAAATTGGCAAAATATTGAAAAGCGAAATGAAGGCTATTAAAAATATCTCATGATCCCAAAGTTACATGTGGTGTAGTTTTAAGAAAATGGTCATAGGGGAATAAAAAGGATTAAGGCCAGTACATGGGCCTATTTCCCAGGGTGAATGTAATCATTTTGCAGTAACTTAAAAATTTTTAAAAGAAAATGGTCATATAGTATTCTATGTTGTAACTCACTTTTTTACTTAACAGTATGATCTGAACATCACCACATGTCATTAAAAGTTTGCCATTACTACCATTTTAAATCATGCTATCAGTGTACTACATACTACTAGTAACAAATCTTTTTATTAGATATTTGGTTCTTTTTAATTTGTCAAAGAGAAAAATAATACTGCAATAAGTACCTTCATAGTAAACTGTTTGAAAACATTCTTGGAAATATCCTTAGAATAGAGCTCTGGTATTAGGTTGTTAGGATAAATGAATGGCCTAATTTTAGGTATTTGATACATACAAATTATTCTTTTAAAAGATCTATATCCCAAATCAGTGTAATTAGGAAAGCATCATTATTGTTCCTTGGTTTCCAGGAAATGTTTAAAAGCCTTAAAATACTACTTGCTAGGGCCAGGTGTGGTGGCACATGCCTGAAATCCCAGCCATCAGAGGCTAAGGCAGGAGGATCACAGTGAGTTCAAGGCCAGCCTGAACTAGGTAACAAGACCCTGTTTCAACAAAACAAAACACAAACAAAAACAAAATACAACTACCTAAGGACTGTATGAGCCCCAGGGCACAGTCTGAGAACAGGCAGGGCAAGGTCATAGGTGTTGTGTATGTGTGTGTGTGTGTGTGTGTGTGTGTGTGTGTGTGTGTCCCATCACCCCAGAGCAAGGCATGGTCAGTCCAGGCTAGGAGGTGCCTAAGATTACCTCCTGTGTCCCTATCCTCAGAGACAGCCAAAACACCCCACCTTGGCTCTACCGTCTCCTTCTCTGCCAGCCTCTCTTCCTCAGGGAAAGCAAACTGCACTGTTCATGCTCCTCCCCCTTTGTCCTGATGTGTCTCTCTTTCTCAAGGACCCTAGAGATCTAAGATATAAACTGTCATTAATGTTTTTCTCAGAAACATCCAGAGCCTCCAAAATATTGTCACCCTTACACAAATATCACCAATCCTGACTCCTAACTCTTTTCAGTGGCCTTTGGAAATCTCCCCAACTTCCGAGTTGGGAGTCATTGACTTTCTGTGCTTCTGGGGTGATAGAATCGTCGGCTGACACACGCTGGCCCTTGCCTGGTTGCCAGCTCCACTCTGAGCTGTCCCTTTGCACACCAAAACCTCTGCTATACAGATTACCTTCCCTCACTTCAGTGTCTCTACCTGTAAGACAGGAATGTTATTGGCCTTGGATTCTTTTCCCTATCAACACTCAGAGCTTAATATAAAGGGAGTCATTAGTGTCACCCCACACCCCTGAGGCTCATGACTAGGAAACTTAAACAAAGTGCAGCAAACAGGGCCTGATATACAATAAATACTTAATAAATGTTAGCCATTTTTATGAAAATACTTACATCAAAAACATACAGGGGGCAACCTTTCTTCATAGACATTTCTTCTTAGAACATATTTTTATAAAACATAATTAAAATATGTACTTATAAAAGTATTGGTCAAATAGGAAATTGGAATTAGCTACTTCTCTATTTGAAGAACTTCTTAGGAAGATTTTTATTAAATTCCAATTAAATCAAGATCCATGAAATTATGTGCTTTGTAGGCACAAGCATAAGACAAAGGATCAATCTGAAAAAGCGGGTAGGATGAGGGTTGGCAATAAAAATTAACAATCATAAAATGCTGACCCTGAGCCAGGTGCTGTAATAAGTGCTAGTAACAAATAACAACCAGTGATACCCAGTCCTTATGTCAGGGTGGCCAGAGTCCAGCGGGCGAGGGAGGAAACCCGATGATTAATGTGCACCCTGGCCTAGATGCTTCAGTCCTGCACACAGCAAGAACAAGTGGGTGACTTTCCCAACACAGCAGAGGGTTCAGGAGGTCCAGCCCAAGTTCTGCTCCCAAGGGTATGAAATGCTGTAGAGCCTGGTAACCCTAGCTCTGTCTACTGTCTCAGATCATTAAGGCAATGACAGGTGACTCTTTCCCAAAATAAATAAATAAACAAACAAACAAATAAATAAATAAAAGTTAATAGCAGGAGTGTAGACAGGACAGAGTCTGGATACTGAAGCCAGTTGACTTAGTCAAATTATTGAAATTCTGTGATTCTTAATTTCCTCTTATAAGAATGGAGATGCCAAACTACACTGCAGGGTTGTAGTTAAATGAGAATAAAACTGTTGTCTTTATGCAAATTTAACACAGGAAATACTTTTTTTTAAAAGGATAAACCTGGGTGGGGTGATGAAGCAAGAGGATAGAAAGTTCCAGACCAGCCTGGAAAAATTAGGTGCTTAGGGAGACTGTCTCAGAAAGGGCTGTGGAAGTAGAAAAAGAAAAAATAAATCAGGGAAGTAGCTATTTACTCATTTAGAAGTTCAATATAAGATCCTAATGAATTTTTCTTAAAAAAAACACCATATTTTACAATGAAGCCACTCTCAGGAAACATGGGTGCAGAATACTTCCATCATGCTCACTAAATGTGAGAGCCCCAGGCCAGCTTAATTCAGACCAGTCATCAATGGTCAATCCATGAGACCAAAGTAACAACTACAAAACTGTCTGGACCACTGGACACTGAGGTCTCCGAATCAGATTGGTGTCAGCAGCCAGCAGGAGGGAGAGAGGAGAGGGTGGTCATGAAGGGTCCACACTTCTACCCAGGGGATAGTCAGAAGCAGAGTGGCAGGGTCACCTTGGACCTCTGTCCTCCACGGCAGACATACAACCAGCCACACACTCGGCTTCTGTCTATTCGTGTAAGTCTTAAAGATAAGGCATGTAGTTAAACAGGCACAACTTCAAGCAGAATCCTAGAAACCTAAGTGGATGTAATGACTGTCAATGAAGTTAAGGAAAAAATAAAATTGATAATAACTTCTGTTGGTGATAACTTTTTTCTCCAGGAAGAAGTTAGCAGGGACTCATGAAAGGAACATGCTACAATTTAACTCCTTCTCATCTAAGGTCTACCCAACTCCTTCAGTTTCCCAGCAGACAGCATCTAAACCCTTCAGCCCTCTGCCTTCTCTTGGACCAAATAAAAAGAATGGGCAATGAGAGGATCCTGTTTGACCTAACTACACTGCATGTTCCAATAACCTTTGGTCAATCTCAAGTCCTCCATTACTACAGCCAGCAAGCATGGTCCTCAGAGATGTAGGCCTAGGATCTCCAGAAACACTACAGACAGAGGACGACTTACCACCAACGTGCTAGAGAAGAGCTGCAAAATGCCATAGGAGGAGCCTGCCAAAAACAAAAGAAACAAAAAAATAACATCAGCAAAATCAGGTGAACCTGTTATAAATATGAATCAAAGTGGTAACAATTAATAGAAAAGCAGAAGGGCAGAAGTTTTAGCAAAGGAAAAGGAAAATGCCCCACATTTTTTCCAATTGGAAGAGTGTAAGTAATATAATTTTTAATAGAAAGTCTTCAAAATAAAACAGAGGGTAAACAGAGGGAGCATAAAAGTGAGGGTCAAGCTCAGGGGTCCTGAAAGAAAGTCCTCCTTCGGTTCCATGAGAACTGTGTAGCTCCAACTTACAAACATGCACAGAGGGGAGGAGATAGCTGAATCTTAGAAAAATTATATTGAGTCTTAAAATCTTAATACTGACTCATCTCTTTTAACATTTTACCATTTTACAAAGGACGGTCAAAATACATGGAAAATATCTAAATTTAAAAAATTTCCTTACAGTAAAAAACACATTAGCCAGGTGTGGTGGTGCATGCCTGCAATCCTAGCACTCTGGAGGCTGAGGTAGGAGGACTGCCGTGAGATCGAGGCCAGCCTGGACTACATAGCAAGATCCTGTCTCAAAAAACCAAAACAAAAAACAAAAAACCCAACACATTGCTATGAATTCCTCTCAAAATCTTTCCCTTCTCTTTGAACACACTTATCTCATTGATTGAGAACTTCTCTCAAGTTCTTGGATACTTATCTCACTGCCATTTTCTGAGGCAGTTTTGGAAGTCCTGTTTCTTGAGTGTCTTTATGAGGTGTGATCAAAGTCATCTACCTTGTTCACCAGATCAGGCACTGTGCAGCTTCTGGCTCTTTCCCAAAGTCAAAATGACCATGAAAGGTAAATGTTTTTGAATTGATTCAGGTAACCAAGGCAGCCAAGACAGGACAACTAAAGGCATTCACAAAAGAGGACTTCCAGAACTGTTACAGAAAGTGGCAAGAATAATGAGATAAGTGTGTTAAACATTCACTTTATTTTTGATCACAGTACATATAATTGCATAATGTTATAAAGAAATCACAGTTTTACAGAATTCTATTACGTTCCTTATCATATAATATGTCCTGTTGCTTTTTGTAGAAATCTCCATGCTGCTCATAATCCAGTATAATTTAAAATACATTTGTCAGAGGATTATCAATCCTGGCATGGACTTGGATTTGACAAAGGCAATGTACAAAACTGTTCCAGAACATCTACTTGTCCAGCTTGTGAATTTAATTAAGCACTGCTAGTCATAAGGATTTCTTGTTAATTAGTGCACTCCTAAACCCCAACTCCTGTCTCGGTTGTAAATTGATGACTTTCAGTTGGAAACCCAGAGGTATCCACAGTCCTCCAAGATGTGCTGCTGGTGGTGTGGGAAGCTTGTGACTGATCTGCCAGGCTCAGCTCCAGCTTTTCCAGCAGGTGTGAGCTCTGCAGATTAAGTCTCTGGTGTCCACCCTCAGGTAACGGGTTCTTGCAGGCAGCGGCCATCCCTGCCCTCCAGCATGCACAGATAGCTCCCTGGGGACACAGAGTCAGTCCTGGTCACATCAGTGCCAGTAAGGGGTGTGGGGTTAACACATTTTCAAACCCAAAACTTTTCTGAATTCGGCAGTCCAGAGTAGAGAGGAATTATATTTGCTCCAGAGTAGTATTTAAAAATACTTTAGAAATTCATTTTATCTTGTTTCCCACTTGCCTTTGGACATCATTTGGCAATAAAGGCTGAGTTGTTTGCGGGTGCTTAAAACTCAGTGCTCTGAAGCTGATCAGTTGCCCACTCACCTACGATGCCAGCCACAGTAGGACTTGCTCCAAGTGACCTGGCATGAAGGCCCAACAAAGGGATGACCATGCTGACTCCAAACAAATCCTAAGAGGAAACAAACAAGGATGGCTTGGGTTAGAAACTGTGGCTTTTAAAGTTTTAAAGTGGTGCTTCTGAAATTATAAACCGACTTCAAAAATAACCCAGCTTCTAACCTTCTCAGCAAACAAGGTATTGCAATTGTATTCCAGAGTATGCCATTCTTATCCTGGATAAGGCCAGGAGGAGGGCTCCAAATGTAATGTGGTATGACAGGTACTGCCTGTAAATGCCTGGATTACCTGACCCAGGATCAATTTCATCTTTAGCTTCTCTGTAGCTGAGACTTGAGATTCAAGATAGGTGGTCAACACAAGCTCCTCATATAAAAACAAAAATCAGATTATCAAAAAACCCAGATACTGAAGTAGAAAAGAAGGGCAGGACAGTCCATATTGATTGGTGAAGCAGCACTTGCTTAAAGATAACAATTTCCTTCTGAACTTTGAGAAGGCAACTACCATGCTAGAACCTGCAGTTGGTGGCCTCCAAGGTACCAGCTGAGAAAAAAGTTTCAGGACAGTAGCAAGGAGACGGCACCTGGGCATTGGGTGGGCTCCCCTGGGGAGGAAGTGTTTTACAAACAAGTCAGAGAAAGTGCACTGCTTTGGGTCAGACACCATCTCTACGGCAGCTCCACCACTTAGTGTGCTTTGGAGGTTTCAGTGTCACCATGTCCTGACACAGTCATCTGTAAAGAAGAGGTGTAATAACACCTTCTTGGTGAACCATGATGCCCACAGAGTGACACAATGGCTGAGAAAGCCTGGCACACAAGGAAGCCCAAACATCTCTCTCCTGTCTTGCATGCTGAGGATAATAAAGGATCCTGTTGGAAAGTATCATGAGCTATTAAGAAGACTATTAGCTTTCCCTTTAGGTTTCATTCTTGTCCTCACCTCCCTTGGTTACCTGCTACAACTGGCTAAGGGGAAGAGAGAGATACCTACACATACAGTTTTTCTTATATTCACCTATAAACGTGCCTGAACTGAACGAAAGAGCATGCATGTAAATGTTCCTTAGGCCCAGAGTGAAGGGTTTGCTTCCTCATCCATCCCATGTATTCATATAATACAGAATCAGTGTCACCTGATTCTGCGTGCCCAGCAATTTGGTGAAAAACACTTTCTTCATGATCTTAACTTTTCATTCAAGAGAGAGCCTTTATGGACCGCTGGATACCCTGCTGGAGGGAGGAGATGGAGCCAGCCTCTCTGCGCCCCTCCTACATGCCTGGGGGTCCTGACTCCTAATTCCAGGGAATGGGCAGCTGAACTGGGGGACCTGGAAACGGTGCCATCAATGTGATCTTCAAGGCCTTCTCCCACTGACAGCTTATTCAACCAGCTCCTTTTGCCCAAAGAGGAAATGCTTCCAGCTCTGTTCTGCCTTGGGTTAGCTCACAACTGGGACTGGTGTACAACAATAGGCCTAGCCCCAGGAGGTGAGGAGTGAAGAGGCAGGTCAGCCCCCTGAAGGTGATGGACAGGACACAAGCTCACTAGTAAGACTGCAACATCTCCGCTGTCAGGAGACGAGTATTACAATACTGAAGTTGCAAAGCAGAGCTCCTGCCACAAGGCAGACACTCTACCTTCCATGAGTATTTGATTAATGGTTGCAGGCATGGATGGATGACTTTCCCTGCGACACACTTAGCTTTCCAGTCCACGTTGGAAATAATTCTGGAGTGAATCAGGGACACACACACACACACACACACACGCCATAATGAAACGGAACCGGAACCTGTGTCGTGCAATATACAAACACTGTGTGGAAAAGCGGATGTGCACAGTTCATATCAAGCCAACCAGTAAATCCAAGGAGAAAGCGCTGCTGCTCCACAGCCACATCCCTTACCTTGGTCAGGACAGAGGCTGCCCCCAGCACCAGCGGCCACCACTGGGGTGGATACCTGGGGCCACCCCGGGGCGCGGGCCAGGGCCAGCAGAGAAAGGGGTGAGGGTGAAGGCAAAAAGGGGCTCAAGAGGCCGGGGTCCTGGCTGGGCTGGGCTTGCAAGACTCAGAGCTGGGGGTGGAGGTTCTGAGTCCAGGTCCCGAAGCCCCGCGCTCGCCCAGCGCCTCGCACTCACCAGGAAGCCCACCAGGTAGAGGCCGAGCAGGAAGCGGCGGGTTCGCACCGCGCCCGACCCTGGCTCCCACGGCGGCTCCCGGCTTGCGGAGGCAGAGCAACGCTCCCGCTGCATCGCCAGGCAGAGGAGTGCGGACGTATCTCAACTTCCCCCAGCAGCCCCGCCCAGAGGGCCGACCAGCCCATAGCCCCCCAACACATCTCAGCCCCGCCTCCAGTGGTAGCCCCGCCCCCCGCGTTCCAACCCCCCCCCCCGCCTCCGGTCCCGGCCCTGCCTCCAGTGGTAGCCCCGCCCAAGTTCCTGGGCACCCCCCCAAAGAAGCCCCGCCTCATACCCCGGCCCCGCCTCCAGCGGAAGCAGCTGCGCGCACCTGCGCGGTGGGAGAGTGCTGCGCAGCGGTGCGGCTGCAGAGGGCAGTCCTCTGTCGTTCTGAGGCGAGGGAGCGTGAGATGGAATATGTTAAGCGCGCTCCGGTTTTGTGCTTATACCAGCGATGCTCTTTGTTTCCTCCGTCCGGGTTGACCCTGTCGCTGAAAGGTGGGAGGGAACTGTAGCGAGCCTGGTGCTAGTGTGGGGACCTCCTGTGGACCCTGACCCTTAGTCAGCCGAGATCACTGATTGTGGCTCTCCAAGCTTTGAGTTGCTTTTTTGTAAAACAAGGGGAAATAATGTAGGAACGGAGTTGTGAGGATTCCGCAGTAGTAGAAAGTGCTCTTCTGATCAGGCCTCCTGAGCCGGAACGAGCAGTGGTGCTTGCCATGTCTGTGGCAAGTAAGGGTGCGTCCTGGTGCCTTCCCAGGCTCTAAGGTGGTAGAGCAGATCTGTACCATCCGCAGCAAGTGTCAGTTATTCGTTTGAAGCTTCCTCGGGGCAGACTCGTGGGGATCACACAACTGGTGGGACATAAGGTGACCGCGTAGCCTAAATTTCCCTTCACACACTGTGTTTTCTCTGAATCCCTGTATTGGTTTCCTACAGCTGTAGTAACAAATTACCACAGATTTGGTGGTTGAAAACAAATTTATTTTACGGAATTGGTAACAAGATATTTAAGTATCATTGGGTTGAAATCAAAGTGTCAGAGAGCATGCTCCCTCTAGAAGCTCTAGAGAACGTATTTCTTGTGTTGTTCAGTTTTTGGTGGCTGCTGGTGTTCCTTGGCTTGCAGCTGCATCATCCCAGTCGTCAAGGCTAGTATCTTCAAATCTCTCTGCTCTCTACTTTCACTGCCTCCTTGTGTGTCAAATCTCCCCATTCCCCCCTTTTAAGGATACCTGTGGTTGCATTTATGACCTACCTGGTTAATTCAAGACAGTCTTTCCATTTCTTGAACTTTAACTTAATCACCTTTAATTTTTGCATGTAAGGTGGTATTTATCAATTCTAAGGATTAAGACATGAATATCTTTGAGGAGCCATTTTTCAGCCGACTGCACTCACCTAGACATAAGGTTACATGTGTGCGTTATCAAACGGAAGATCAGTTTGGGGCTACTATAGAAAGTACAACTAAACTGCCAAAGCTTGTAGCATGACTCAAAACCCTTCCAACACTGAAACTTGTTGCACTGCCTCTTCTTCCTCCATCCTTGTCCACGGTCTCCTGAAGAGTTCCCATCAGTTTTCCAAGGAAGAAATGAAACTTGAGTCTGGCCTACAAACATAGATCCATGATATTCTAGTGCCACCTGAAAGTGGACAGCTGAAGTCCAACAGGACTACTTAGGGGCAATGGGTTTTCACTGCAGAGACTTTTAATAATCAGGTGGATAAAATGAGGTACTCGTTGGATGTCTCCAGTCACACAGTGCTTCCTCACTAGGCCCTTGGACAAAGTAACTAGAGATAGAGTTGGCAGCTTCCCCTTTTTAATGCTATTCCCTTTTTTTTGGTACTGGGGATAGAACTTGGGACCTTGCACTTTCCAGGCAGGCGCCAGAAACACTGAGCTAAATCCCCAGCCCATTAATGCTATCCTTTTATGTCTAATTTGCCAATAGAAGGCACAAATAGGAAGACCCTCCTATACTGTCATTCCCTGGAGAAGCCTTATTAGCAACCTAATTAACAGTTGATTATATTAGTTCTCTTCTGCTATGAAAGGTGTAGACAGTGATCCACAGTGGAATAAACACACATTCTGGAGATGGAACTGCCTACTCAGAATGCTTGTGGCACCACCTGCATCATTGTAGCCACAGAACCTTACACCATGATGTCATTTTACAAAGCATGGTTCCTGATCAGTGTTCTCATTCTACTGCAGAGGAAGGGAAAGAATGAAACAAGGGGCCAGTTATAGTCACTGCAGTCACTGGAACAAAATACCCCACATCTGAAACTTGAAGGTGAAGAGGGTTATTTTGGCTTATGGTTTCAGTCCATGCATAGTCAGTTGACTCCAGTGTAGAAACCAGTAGGGTGGAAGGGCCTGGGGCAGGATCCAGCCACAGAATTACACACTTGGAGGTCACAACCCCAGTCATCTACACCTTCCAACCAGGGGCCCCTCCAAACAAGACTTTTGGGGAACATTTTAGATCTAAACCATAACAGTGCCTATCTTTTTTACTCAGCTAACATTATAACAGCCTAAAAGGATAGATTTATGTCTTGATGCTTATAGAATATGCTTTGAGTCAGAATCCATTTATGGCACTCTCTTCTCCATTCCACGATTTGGGAATCAAAGTGGTAATGTTTCCTTTCAGAATCACTGACAAAATGATTGCTTCCTGGCCAAACAGCTTTTTTTTTTTTTTTTTTTTTCCCCTGGCCAAACAGCTTTGAGCTCTGCTGTTTTTAGAAACCTTAGGTCCCAGGATACACCACCAGCAAAACAAAGGTTCTATCGAATTTGGAGATGAGACCACCATGAGGCATTTTGGAAGATAGATTCCTCAATGGGCTGGAGTAACTGAATTTGAGTTGATGTTATACAGTAGGGGCAAGAAGGACTATGTCTGGAAAATACAAACACATACAAATAAAAAAGGTAGAACTGTTAAAGAATCACATCCTTCATGAAAGAGTCTTACCAATGCCAACTAGGTGATATTTTGGCTGAGCACAAGTAAAAATTGGTGAAATAGATGGCAAAAGAAAGAACCCATAGATACCATTTTTGGCTCCATGCTAAATTACAACATTGAGAACTAATAAGTTTTGAATATTTTCTCTGCTTACCGTACATATATGCTTATTTATAATATGCTAAGCATTTTCTCATTCCAAATGTAATTTTATATAAAAGTACAGTGGACCCTCAAGTTACAACCTGCCTGACATATGAACAACTTGGGTTACAACTGCAATTTCAGTTTTAACTAACAAACAAAGTCTTGAGTTATGACCTGAATGCCAGCTGCTTGTGGTTCCAGATGGTCTCAGATACAGATTTAACCCTTAACGAGTTCTGGAAGGAACGTTACAACATCCTCTCCTGTGTGAGGTTCATTGAGAAATCCTGCGCCAGTGTCTCTCTAAGGACACTGAGATCTGCCTGGAAAAAAATGTGGCCTAAAATTTTACAAGAGAGAGACTTTTAAGGCAGTTGACCAACTTGAGTTACAACCATCCCTCAGGAATAAATTAAGTTCTTAAGTCAAGGGCCCACTGAAGTTGGTAGTTTAACCTTACAATTTAACATTTAGGTAACAGACCCTTCAGTGAGATTGACTCAACATATGAAGTGATTAGCATAACCAGCAATTATTAGTATAACAGTTTCCTTGTGTAAAGTGGAAACATAGAGGTTTTGTTTGTTTTATAGAGTTGAAATGTGGATAAAAGGATGCATTTAAGACCTGAGTAGTGCAATAGGTGGGCTGTTCCAGTTATAAATGTATGCTCTCAGCTTCAAATATTCCCATCATCGCCTGCTTTGTGATACTGGAGCTGGGCCCTGTAAACAGTCTCCCTTTACTAATGGCACCATGTTAAACTTTGTCAACAGATGGCACTAAGGGACACTGCATAAGGAAGGAGCTTTACTCTTGTCTTGTGTGGTTCTCACTCTTTCTGCTTCTGTTGGGTGCAGCAGGGAGAAGATTGCAGGACCCCTGTGGTCCTCCATCCCCAGAGAGTTTGAGGGCATCCACGCACACAGCCCATTTCACTGGGATCCCAGCTAGTTTCCACTTCATCCTCCCCAGTGCACTGCAAATGACTCCAAGCTTTTTCCACAGGAATCCTGGCCAGTGGCTTCCCAGTGTGTTTTTCCACTGGCCCAACTGAGTGAAATAGGCAAGAAAAAGACATAAAAGATTACATTTGAAAAGAAGATGCAAAACTGCCTTTATTGACAAATCACAGAGTCATCTATGTAGAAAATTCGAAAGAATCCATGTAGAACTAATAAAATGAGTTGAGTGAAGTTGCAGAATACAAGGTCAATATACAATTTTATTCATGTGTGCTATTAGAAATTGGAGTTTCAGAACACTTCCAACCTAAAAACATTATATGGGGATAAATATGACTATGGATGTGCAGGCAATCCTTGGATCTATTGAACTCCTTCTACATTTCAAGAGACACCAAGATGGCAAACATCTAGAATATTCTTTTATTTATGCCACTCCCCAGGCATGACTATATATCGTGTAATCTTGAAAAATGAGGTAATGTCTTCTAACTGGTCAAGAAGAAAGCTTACTTACTGTTTATAAATGCAGTGACTATCCCAAGCTCTGTATTCCTCAAATGATACAGTCTACAGCATGTACAGCATCCATAGGAATCTATTAACATCACTCTCGTGTGATGTAACCCCAAGGCAAAACTTATACATATGTGCAGTTTTTTATATTACTTGCTGTATTATGAGTAAAAAAAATTTTTTTTTTTGGTCTCTGATTTGGGAGTCTCCTGGCATCTATGAATAGATTAGATTTTAGACAGGGTAAGATTAAATCAAAGACCAAACAGTCAAATACAGTGAAAAGTATGAAACACTGCTAAGAGATATGAAAAAGCAACAAAAATATTTGAAGACATTTAGTACAATCAGGAACTAGAAGACAATATTATTTAGTAGTCATTTATAGTTACCACATTGATGACTTGTCATTTTATGGGTTAAGATTAGAAGAGTGTAGCAAGATGTGGTAAGATTTGAAAAAATAATGCTTGTGGGAATGTGCAATTGTATAACAACTTTGGAAAAGAGATT